ATCTAAATATAGACAGTTCAACACAGACTCTTGTTACTTACAGATCATATAAACCTGGATAGGTAGAGAGGATAGAGTTTGTGATAGATTGAAACAGCGTATTGAAGCTGATAAAGAGTAAAGGGGAGTTTAGGTATTTTCTACAAAAGTGGTGGCAGTAGTGGGATCTTTGAACCCAAGCTAAATTCCAGAAACTCTGAAGTTCAGAAAGAAGAGTACTGTGAATTCATTTTTTATCAGTATAGCAAGGGAAAATATATCGTAAGGGTAATTGAAACCTACAAAACAGCAGCAAAGCAGGGCTGCAACAAGGAAATGTGGGGTGTTGTCAATGCAATACAAGGTGGAGAGGCTGGTTACTTTTGCAAGAAGACCGGACATCAGAAGAGAGATTGCCGGAAGTATGAAGAATGGAAGAAGAAAAATCCAAACAGGAAAACCGGAAGTTACAACAGGATGACAATTTCCTGCTATGATTGTGGAAAAGATGGTCATATCTCACAAGAATGCAGAGGAAAAATGCAGAATAATAGGAGAAAAGAGAATGGAGCTGTAGGAGGCAGACAGATGACGGAAAGGGGTAAATCTATGGCCGAGATGAGAGAGATGATCAAGAAGTTAGCCCTATATGCAGGTTTTCCGCAGAGGGTTCCAATAAACTGTTTAAGAGAGATATTTATGGATTAGCTTTGGTTGACACAGGAAACTTGGTGAAGGAAACTTTAGTGTCAAGTGAAATTTGGAAATTTGAAAGTGGAACCCATAGTGATAGAAGGGTTAAATCATGCAGTTGTAGAAGCCTGACTTTTAGTTATAAGTTATACCTACTCAAAGAGGGTGATGTGGAAATGGACATTAAAACCCTACCTGGCACAGAGAACGAAGAGGGGGAGGGACAGAGGGAGGAATCTGAGGAACCGATGCTAGACATGACTGATGGATCAGTCCAAGAAGACGAAGATAAGTCATTAAGCGTATTCAACAGTCCAACCAGAATACCTCTCATGAGATATGCGAGGACGATCTAAATGAATTAGATCAACCAAAGAAATGTAGGTTTGGCTTGAATTATTTAAGCAGCCAATGCGGGAAGAGAGAAGTTTCAGATCCAATCATGAGAGAGAGGCAGCTGAAGACTACAAGCCTGTGTATAGCTGACAGGCTAAGGGGCCAGAGCAGAGAGACACCGACAGACAGTACAGGCTGGCTGGTATCACTAGTAGCAGCAGCAGGGAGAGCAGGGAAAGGCAGGACAGTTCCCAAGAGAGTGCGAGATTTGGGTTGTCCAGAGATTAGCATGTTGCTACAACACTCAATGGCATGTATATCAGCCTACATTTGCAGTGCAGTTGACCTATGTGAAAGTGAAGATCTTTTGCCTACATTGACTTACATGGCTCATAGTAATATGATGTTGGTACCCCAGGAATTTTCCATAGCAGTCCAGTCCTAACATCAGGTCGAGTATAAAACCGCTATGGTTGTGCATGGCTTGTATACCCACGAGGGGTTAAACTCCTTCTTTCAGTACACCGTACCAAGCTAAAGATGAAGCTTTGTTTTAATCTCTGTACAATTCTTGCTTCCCCTGTAGGATACAATATGCATAACTAAACTCAGCACTTCTTGACAGCTGTAATTTTGGGACCACATAGGATAGGTCCGCCCTCATCGGAGGAAGTCATGCAACTAAGTCTGAAGCTGATAAAGAGTAAAGAGGAGTTTATGCATTTTCTACAGCTCGGGTGTGTAGCAATTGCAAAAAAGGGGTTGGGGAGAAAAATGGATTTCAGTCTCTTCATGTTCCTCATATCTTTTAAACTCAAGAGAGACTATGTTATTCGAAATTGAAATTAATAGTCTATGGAACATACTGTATTAATGTACTCAACTGCATATAATTTGTGAACATTTACATGATTTGTACACTTTGAACTCCCTTTCAGGCTGAAAGGGACTGAAAAAATTCATACCGAGAGATTCTTTTAATTCCTCTCTATATATTCTATTCTCTATGCGTAGATCTGACCACCACCATTCATAAAATTCAAACTTATATTCAGTTAATCTTTGGTCGAGATAAAGCAAAGTATCACATTTGAAATCTGATTCTTTGTTTTTGTTTATATATTGTTACTTATATCTTTTAATTCTTTTGAATTTTAAACATCTATTATTCAAGTTACTTATTTTGTTTGTTTTTTAGAATATGCCCTGAAGATGGTTAAATAAACCAAAAATTTGACAAAAAGAGTTTTTGTTTCGCGGATCTGAGAGTGTTAGATTTTGAAGAATTGTAGATAGATAGATAGATATACAGACTGGTATACAAATACTAATTAGATAGATAGATATATTTGTTGAGAAACCACTTTGACCTTGTTAATCCTACTAGACAATAGTGGGCCGCCTTCAGCCATATATATCTTACACACATAATATTCTACATAGTATAAATATAGAACACACGTAAACACACACACACAGCAGATGGTGGAACGGGAGGGGGGGGGGTCATGCAGCTGGAGAACGGGGGAGGAACCATTGTTAACAACATATGTATTTAAACTTACGATGGATATCTATGGATATGGATGTGGATATGGATATCTACATTATTGGATCACTGAGTATATGGATACGCGATATGGAATATTAAGAAGATAATAATGTTATTGGATTTTCAGAAAAATTAGATTAGATACTTTTGAGAAATGTTCTCAGCAATATTTTTGGATAATTAATGCTGGTCTTAAACTTTCAAACTTACCAAGTAAAAATATTTAGTATTTAATGACCAAAAGAATTTTCTTCAACTGACCCTTCATTTTTAATCTTGCAAACTTTTGACCATAACGATCCCTTTCGATTCCAAAGAGATAAATTTTAAATGATAGGAAAAAAATATTGATATAATTATTTGGAGAATTTTCAATTTTTCGAAATTAATCAACTGTATGTATTTTCAAATAGATAAACAATCCCATTAAAGGGACTGTACGGGTAATTTCAAGTGACCCTCTATGTAAAGTTGACAAAACCCTATTTAAAACGGTATTGGGATTGCCGTAAACCGAAACTATAGGCAAGCGTACAGCGTGAACTCGAAAATACCGAATATTTTATGTCCAAATTAGTTTTCAAATAATTTCAATGATAACAGTTATTTTCTGAGACTCCAAGAAAGGGATATTGATATTTCTTTATTATAAAATAACTTGCAAACAAAGCGTTCAACAATTACAAGTATCTATGTACTGTACAAGTGTCTATGTACTGTACAATTGTCTTTGTACTGTACAAGTGTCTATGTACTGTACAAGTGTCTATGTACTGTACAAGTGTCTATGTACTGTACAACTGTCTTTGTACTGTACAAGTGTCTGTACTGTACAAGTGTCTATGTACTGTAATCCCGGATGGGGGGGGGAGGCGGTTGGCAGCAGTGTGGAAATTCTACAAGGAATGATTTGTAAACCGAACTGCAATGAAATCAACAAAATGTACATTGTGCAATGTTCATTTCATGTTTTTTTACCAGTCCGACTATACAACCTAATACAAGCATACAAGCATACAAGCATATTTCGGTCTTTTTATCTCGGTATACAGTTCAAACAAGAAATAATCATTGCATTGTCATCAACATAAAAGCCTATGGTAAAAAGGAAGTTTAAATAGTTTAAAAACATGCGATAATTTGATGTTTCAGTGAACACATGGGGGGGGGGGGGCCCCCCCCCCCCCCAATGATTTTGCCCTTAGAGTTGAGATAGGGAAGTGTGATACATGTCCCTAATCCAAATTGGCAAGACCTGCTTATTAAAAAAAATCAGACCTCTAACTTTAATGGTTAGGGTGCAAGGGAGATTTTAAAAAAGTTCAAAAAGTACATCGGAAAGATGTTTAAAAATAATTATTTTTACTTTAATTGACAAATATTAATATGTGATACATGTTTATACGTCCATTTTTCAAGGGCTAATTACATATATAAGTTTTAGCCCTTTGGTTTAGTAAAAAAAATTGGCATAATTTGTTCACAACTATGTTTAAAAAAAAATGAAGAAGATTTAGCGTTCAAATGTGAGTCGTTTTTAAGTACTTTAGAAAAAACCACAGGAGGGTTGGAAAACACCCCCCTCCCCCAATCGTAATAGAGTTAAGTAATTTTGATATGATATATTTACTGTGAACAAGAAGAGAAAATAACAAGTAAATATAATATATTTTCTTTTTGACAAAAATATCAAAAATATAACAAAATGATAAAACATAGCAAACTATACATATAGACTAGAGAAATAACAAATAAAACAAAAACAAAAATAATTTTAACTTTTTAAAAAAAGATCAAAGGATTTTTAATTCTTTTCGAAAAATGATTCAATTAATGCTTTGAGATAATTTGACTAGAAGAACAACTAGATTTTGATCAAAATAAAATTTTTAAAAATAAGGAAAAAATCATAAGTTTTAACAAGTCTTAGAAATAACAAATATCTACACAGAATCAAAAAGAAAATATTCATCGCTTAAAAGCACGTGAAAATTATTTCTAATTTCTATTGGTTAAATAAATTGTATAATATATGTACATAAATTGAGACATGTTTATGTTTAGGTTTGTACATAAAGGATTGTGTAGTATATGCCGTATATGCCTAACTGACATAAAATAATAAAATTCTTGACGCAAGATCAATGTTTTTTTTTGGCAGCCCTGTACATTTAAAACAGGTTTTTTCATTTATATACATATATATATATATATATATACAGGGTGTCCCTGAAAACATGGGAATTAAGTGACGAATTCGATATCGTCTTTGGCATGAATTAGCATTGTAATACCTAATTTTAAAAGCCATAATATTATTATGTCTGAGTTTATTTTATGAAACGGTTAAACGATGTAAAGATGTGTTTATAATGTCCCCGCAAGATGAACAGTGAAGACGGACTTAAGTTTACTCTGTTTGTATACTGTAATTTTCTTGTTTTACTAAGTACAATCGTATACGGTCAAAACATAAACAAACAAAATGTGAACATAGCAGACGAAACTCTTACAAATTACAGCTTTCCAGTAGGTATCAATCACTATACTAAATCAAAGAATTATTTGAAAAGACGATATCGAATTCGTCACTGAATTCCCATGTTTATTGGGACACCCTGTATATGCGAGAAAACCAACAAAATTCAAGCAGTAAACCAGGCCAACTAGGCAATGTTAACTCTATGAAGGGGGTAGGAGGGATCAAGTAAGTTTTATCATGATTTAAGACTTGTGAAATATCTTTTTAGTATTTCCAATCCGACCACTGTGACCACGAGAATAGATAAATTCAACATTAAAGCATTGTTTCGCAATTATATAGGTTTAATCATTATGATTTACAGGAGAAATGTACTTGATGACCCCCAATGCACTATTTGTAGTTTTCTTCTTTAATGTCGGCGAAATCTCTGAAATTGTGGAAAAAATCCTTCACGTACTGATGGCTGTACTGCTGCGGAGAATTACTGAAAATAATATTTTAAATTAAATTTGTGAACAGTTGATGATATTTGTCAGAAAAACTGTTTATTTTTTTTAAAAATCATTTTCAATCTAAACTTTTAAATTTCTATCAAAAATATAATTTCTAAAGTGTTCACATCATGCTTCTACACACTTTAACTTACACTATTCTTAAGATTTGTATCAAAATCATGAAATGTCATTTTAACCCCTAACAGCAGAAACAGTGAGAGGTCTAGAGATCCTAACCTTAAACACCTTTAGAGTTTTTAGGGAGGGGCATGTTAGACTTTTATATCAGTCCTTCACCCACTTTTTACTATAGTGACCCTAACTCAGAGAGTATAAAAACATACAGAGATTTTAGTTTAACTCTTCTAAAAACTGTAATAGTGGACCCGACTCAAAGAGTATGAAACCATACAGAAACTTTATTGAACTTGGACAGTGACAGTTAATGACGACCCTTCGTTAACGATCGTTAACATATTTATCAATGACAATTTTTTTTAAAAACGATCGTTTTTTAAATAAAACAATTGTATTCAAAACGGTCGCTTATCGTTTTTATAAAAACGATCGTTATCAAAAACAATTGTTTTTCGTTTTCTAAAAATTCAAAACGGTTAGGTCGTTTTCAAAAACGATCGTTTTTTTCCGAAAATAAAACTATCGTTTTAAAACGATCGAAAAAACTATCGTTTTCTAAAATGATTATCAACCCTATCCTAAGTAAAATCTTTATTCATATATTTGGTTTGAGTCGACATGAAAAATGTTGCCTCAACAAAATTTTGAAAATCACCAATTAAAAACAGAAAAATTGTTAAATTTTAAATTCCATAAGACGCATGGAAGCCTCATGAAACATGGTATTGCATACTCTGAGCACTAAATACTACTAATACCCTGATATATCTGGTTAAGCTTTATACTCTCTGTTTCTAGCATGCATGTCTAACATCCCAATGTTGTTCTTGAATACATTGATCTACTCTAACCTTTAACCTATAGTTGACATCACCCCCCCCCTTAGATTTCTCCCCCCCCCTTCTTGGACTGGTCTCTGATCCTTTAAGATGGTTGTTTTCTGCTGGTAAAAGACAGGAATGTAGCCTTGAATCCAGATGACGCACGGGGGCATGCCAAGGAGAGGGGGGCATGTCAAGAAGTAAATGTGGCATGTTGGACATTGTAATGAAGGTGATGGTGGGGTATGCCAGGTCGATCAGAGCATGCCATGGAGCGGGGGGACAAGTCAGTAAGAAAGGGTTATTTCGAGAAAACAAGAGAGGGAGCACTGAGCAGGAAAATGGGTAACATAAAAAATAGGAAGCATTTTATTATTACCTGCTAGGAATATATTGATACTCGTCCTTGGTGTAGAAAGTTCCTCCCTTCACTATATCAAAGTTTCCGGATCCAAGGATCTCGTTGTCCTCAGGGGACTGAAGGGAGTTCCTGGAGTTCGTGGAGTAGTAGTCTCCACTGCTCGACAACTACATAAAGAACCTTGTTAATTCAATAATAGACTTGCTTTTCAGGATACATTCAGTTATCATTGCAAACTATGGACAGAGGTAGAAGATAAACTTTATGCGACATAATTAGTTTAGACTTGGTGACCTTGGAGCTTCTCTAGTTTCAAAACCTTTAAAAATTGCCATTTTACAAAGATTTGAGAAGTGACAAGTGGGGCATCAACTAGCAGCCCCCCCCCCACCCCCTATTAATAATAGTGATAATAAAGTTCTTATCATACAGTGAAATATGTGCAAATGTTGTGTTCTTTATTTTCGGTTTTTACACTTTTTTATTTTATTTTGAAAAATCTGTCAACTAATGTTGTCTTCCTTGCTATATTTGACACATGTGACGTCATGTATATTTGGTCCATTTCTCTGTTGCCACCTATTGAACTTGATAATCTGTTTGCATATTTCTTCAGAAATTAAAGGGTGTTCTGCACGATGAATTAATGATAAAACATTAATAATTTTTTTTATCAGTCAGATTCAGATCTATTTCTATTCTACCAAATATTTCTATGGAGAGAATTAAATTTATACCCAACATTCCTTTGTACAGACACATTGCATGATCAGTTGACAGTAACACATACATTACTTTTATTTTTTTTTAAACTTGAGTCGCCTTCCAGCTTTACAATTATATGGGTTTCACTCGTAGGTATATCTATTCCACTTGATTATGTCGATCACTGTATGTAATCATGAGGATGTCAGATTCAAATTTAACCTTGATTACCGATTACGTATACTATATATACGCCCTTGGTGTAATAGTATGTGTCTGTGTTGAAATTGATAGCTGACGAGATCGCGCCCATTGATTTGGCATTGATAGATTACAAGCTTGTGTCTGTGTTGCCATTGATAGCTGATGAGATTGTGTCCTGCTTGACATTGATAACAAAGTTAGATTGAGCTGTGTCTGGATTGCTACAGTACTGGACGAAGTTTTAAGAGTACGGCATTTACTACAGGTATGGGGGGGGGGAGGGGTAATAGTAGGAGGTTGAATAGTGGGGAACAATGCAAGATAGGGAATTCAAATGGGGTAATATGGTAGGGAATATGGGAAAAGGAAGGAGAAGTAGGAAAGATAGGAAGGTTGGATGGGTGGGAATGGAAGGAATAGGGAAGGGAGGTATAGTGAAGGGGAGGAAAAGGAGGATATTGGAAAGGTATGGGGAAGGGTGGATGGGAAAGGGGAGGGTAGGGAATGGGAAAGGGTGGTAAGTGGAAATAGAGAAGAGATTTTTTCCTTGTTCTTTCAATTCAGACTTAGTACTATATAGATAGATATATAAAACAAAGTATAAATAGTAATTTAAAACAAAACAGAACCATTGTTAAAATTAATTCGCAAGCTTTAATTAGTACGGAAGACATTTATCTCTGTAGATAAAACTGCTTGTGAAAGATTTTAAGGAAATAGTAAAAAAAAAAATATCAAAAATAGATGCTTTGAACATTTGCAAAATAATAATGTTTTGCTCTTTAATGATCGTTTTCTTTCGTCAAAAAGTCATGTATTAAAGCAGTCATTGATAGAGAATTAAGTGTTAAAGGGAGGTGAAGATTGGATTCTGACTTATATTAACGAAGATATTTCAGGACTATACAGAAAGTTTTAAAAGATTAAATCATTTTTAAGAATAGCAAAAGTCTAATATAAGAATACAGGGTTCTTGCGGATTTTGGAGTTAAAACATATCATGTGGGAAATATCTGTATTTCGATACAGAAAATATTAGGTTATGATCTGGTGAATAATAATAAAAATAAAAATAATAATAATAAAAATCTTGTATGTGTATTGTGTAAGCATGTATATTCTCATTGAACTTATTTTCTATTTAAATTGTGAACATGTTCTTTTTGTTTACATTTTAAAACAAAGAAGAAAAAAATTTTGCGGATTTTTAAAAAAAAATTTGCGGATTTTCAAGAATTGAAATTTTTTTACAAAATTAAAGACCTTTAAAACAAATTTTTTTTAAATTTTTATCATTCATAAACCTTCCCTGTGGTCACGCGATGTCCCACAAAAAATTTGGGCCCGATCGGTTCAGCCGTTTTGACGTTTATTGGATACAAACAAGCAAACACCCAGACAGACAAGCCAAATTTATATATAGATTTGTTGTTTTTCAACTTCGTCATACCCCCCCCCTTCCTTTAAACTGAATTATTTTTATAAATAAATTAATTTCTCTCTGAACTGTTTACTGCAGCTTCTATTATCTTAATTTCTATGCTGTCAATGCACAATAAAGAGACTGTATACGAAGTTAAAAGTTTCTCTCCAATTACAGAGTGACATCACTCTTGTATGCCGAGTCCATTTGCGCCTAATCCAATCAGGGTTCAGTCATGTGTTTGTTGTCTATTCTGAACTCATAGAAGTTGCATGGCGGTAACATATATCATTCTATCTAGCTCATTTTCAAATTAGAGATATGAATCCTTATTTCGGCGCTATATCAGTAAATAGAAATATTTACTTCTACTGAAACTATAGTGACATGTCCACTTCAAGACGCAAGGTATTCTAATCATCTTCTCTTTAAAGCTTGATTATTTTCAAATGAAATTTCTCTGTAAATCAAGTCACTTGCACATTTCTGCTTCAAAAACAATGGAGGAAAATATCAGATAAAACGACGATATCTTCCACATTATTGATCAGGGTAACGGTGTGAATCGAGTATGCTCGTCCTTACTTTGCAAGTCCTTTAAAATTACAGGAACTGTCCCTTTAAACAACAAAAATATTCTTTGAAATTTTGTTTTTAGAAAACAATATTATTCGATTAGTAAATCTAATACTTTGAATTTTCTCCCCCTTTCAAAGAATTTAAAAAAAAGCTCTAGATATTTGTTAGTTCCTCCTCACGTTCAGAAGAAATAATAACGTTATGATCGTTCAATCTTTCAAAGAATTTAAAAAAAGCGCTAGATATTTGTTAGTTCCTCCTCACGTTCAGAAGAAATCATAACGCTATGATCGTTCAATCTTTCAAAATGACAGGACAGTTAAAAGTTACGAACATTCTGATAAAATAGGGTTAGCACAAATTTACGCGGTTCAAGTAGTCCCCCTGACCTATTTTATGCCCCTATGTATGTTTTCTTACTCAGCAATCGCAAATTCGACTTAAAAGGACTATACTCGCCTGGGTCGAATAATACATTCAGGAATGTAAATGGTTTAAGAAAACTGAGCTATCAGTTTGAGACGGATAGAGAACACATTGTTATTTTATTAAGACAAAAACACATCTTTTGCATTTAGACTGGTAGAGCTTAGACTTTAGTTTGAACCTTAGAATTTTATGGAGCAGCAAAACAATTGTTTACCTTGATAGGTGCAGGAAGATAGGCTGCCTGAAGTGCAGTGACCTCTCCTGAGGTATACGGTGACTCCTGAGGTCTGTACGCAGGTTCTGTAGGTCTGTATGCAGGCTCTTGAGGTCTGTACACTGGCTCTTGTGGCCGAAATGGCTCTTGCGGTCTATATGAAGGCTCCTGAGGTCGGTATGAGGGTTCCTTAGGTCTGTAAGCAGCTTCTTGTGGTCTGTACGCAGGCTCTTGGGGTCGGTACTGAGAAACTTCGCCGGATTGTTGAGGTCGGAAAGAATATGGAGAACTCTTGCTGAAATCGTCATAAGAATACGCTGAAGGACCGCCGCCATTAAAGAAATCCGAATCAAAATCGGCATCATCCCAGAATCCGGTTGGACCCTGAGATCGTCGGTTGGATTGACGATTCGTCTGTCGACTCGGATGGTTAGGTCGTTGTCGCCTTGGCCGTTCATCTCTGTAATAAAACGGATTTTTGAGCGCAGATCTCTTCGTTCGGATTTTTTCCGGTTCCCAATTCATTCCGAAATCGGAAAGATCCGGGAAACTCTCCTGAACCCCGGCAAAAAATCCCTCATTTTCAAATCCAGAATTGGAAGTGGTGGAGATAGACTGTCGTTTTGGTTTGGAGGACGGTTCAGGTTCAAGAGAAAATCCTTTAGATCCCTGATCTCCGAACCCTGCTTCTTGTTCTCCAAACCCGGATGCGAAGGAGTTTTCGAACCCAAACCCAGAATCTGTTGGAAAGGTTGGAAGGGTAGAGTAGGAAGGTGGAGAAACTTCAGTGTATGGAGTTTGGGGTTTACTTCTCTTTTTTCCCTTTTTCCGACGAGGTTTGACGGAACTATGTCCGTCCAGTCTAGTTGGTTCCGGTTGGTTAAACTTCTCACTTCCTTCATATTTAGTGCAAACCTTTAGATTTAATATTTAACAACAGGATATGGGAAAATAGTTGAAATAGTCAATCTCCAAGTTTCCCCTAATTATATATATCTGAGTAACTATTATATATATCATACAAATTCAATTTCAATTGCAGGGTCAAGTTAATTGTTGCGTGGTTACAAAGAACCAGTAGAGACAGAGTATATTTCCGTTCCATTTCCTTTAGTTATTTTTTCCAATTTTGCATTGAATCATTGAATCATTGAAAATTTTAGCCACTTCATAATTAATTTTGTGAAAAGGTTTAAAGCTATTGGGATTGAGTCTTTGCCACAAACTCTGATCTTCTAATCCCTTTATCTTTGCATCCCAATGTCGTATACCTAAGATATTTCAAACTATGGATTCTGATAGATCAAATAATCTAAGTTTGAAATATCAAAGGTTTACACCATCAGGTTGCAAATATACATGGATCAGAAAATTTGAGTTTGTGACAAAGTCTCAATTATTTTCTCGATTAACAATAAACAAAATTGAAGAAAAACTAAGTTGTTAAAAAAACTATTTTTTAAAAATTTGCATAGCATTAAAATAAAGAGAAAAAGGGCAAAATGATTTTTCTAACAAACTTTTTGAATTGTGTTAAACCTATTTTCAAAACTGAGTAGGCCTTGAAAAGTTGGACTTTTTTCAATTTTGACATCTATTATAGCCAAACCGTAAAAGTGTATTTTTTAAACTGATGGTAATTTTTCTGGGTAACAACTGAAGCAATGCCACGGATAATGCTACAACGTAAGATGTATTTAAACGGTCGACTGATCTGGAAAATCTATGGTGTCTAAACCTTCAACTTTAGACTAGACATTAGACCCCCCTCCCCATCCCACCCCTCCTTCCCTCCATGACACCCTCAATTAGCTTGATAAATACTTTTTTAAACGGATTTAATTATTTTCTAAATTTGCAGCTAAAAACCTAGAAAAGCTGGCTTGAAGTTGGAGAAGGTTTCTTCGGGAGGATTAAAACTTTGATCAGGGTTCCTACGGGGACCCTTCTTCTTAATTTTTCGTTGATCCTCGGCTCCAGGTCGTAGGGAACCTTTTGGCGGGAAAAAATCGGACTTTTTTGGCGGGAAAATGTCGGACATTTTTGGTGGTAAATCTCCAGGTTGTCGTTTATGCCTGTGATATTAAAAATAATAATATCTTTTAAAAAGAAATATCACATAATTGTTTAACTATTTTAAGATCTATGCAAAATGTTAAATGATTTAGTATTATTTTAATCATATCCCTAAAGCTAGGTCCAGGTCTTGGTCCATTTTTTGAATGGAATGATTCACGTTGGCCGCGGAAGGATGATGGGCCATCATTAAACCTACTTGGAGGGCCATCATTATGTCTACGGGGTGGCCCTTCATTAAGTAAGCCTATTGGACCGTTATTAAATCTAGCTGGTGGGCCATCATTGAATCTGTTGTGTGGACCATCATTAAATCTGCTCGGTGGACCATCATTAAATCTGTTGGGTGGGCCATCAATAAATCTTTTAGGCGGTCCGTTAAAAAATCTGTCTGGGGGTCCATCCTTCAATCTGCTGGGAGGCCCCTCATTAAACCTGCTCGGAGGTCCATCTTTAAATATAGTAGGGGGTACATCGTTAAAAGGTCTGGGTGGTCCATTAAACAACCCCTTTTTTCCTCCCTCTATGATTTTTTTTTGTGTTCCCTCATTCAGTCTGTGTGGTCCATCCTGAAATCTGTGAGGCCCATCATTAAATCCACTGTTAAATCTAGCTGGAGGCCCAAAATTAAAATCGTTAGGTAGAGCTCCACTTTGGAACGAACCAGACTCTTGAAGACGTCCATCTTGAAATTTCTTCGATGGAAATTGCGGCTTTTCGCTATAGCGTGAAGACGACTTTTTGAAAATTGGCTTTTTTTCGATAGATGGCACCTTGTTTAATTCACTCTTGTTTTCAGTAAACGGGGATTTTTCCAATTCATGTTCGGAGAAAGGTTTAGGAGATTCAGCAAAGAATGGTAGACCCTCTGGTTCTCTTTTATTCTTTCTAAAATAAATTAGTTTATCTTTTTATTAATAAACAGCGTAACCCACAAAGGATGTGACTTCAGAGACAATTGTACGGAACTTGTTTGGTCCGTTTTCTTGCATTCAGGGCCGGTTCCTTGTAGGCCTAAGCTGGCTTATTTCTTTGCTTTAAAATTTTGTACACCATCAAAATACTCAATTGAATGAAGAAAAGCTTTAAATCGTCATATTTTTTTAGTTTGGGTCGTCTTTACAGTCTCATCTTTTGTGGGTAACCCTGTAGATAAAAAACCAAAGTTGGAAATTTAATAATTGAGAAAGGAAGTTAAACTAGTTATGGCTTGTTTAACTGATATTGAGTGTTTTAACAACTTCTCTCCATTCCTTACATATTTTTTTTATATTTAAAAAAATATGACCTCCTCCATTTCCAAAACTAATTTTTTAAAAGATTAATCAAATTTTTCCTTGTTTGAATGCTGCTGACGACATTAGGTCCTTGTGAAGAAGATTGTGTTTCTAGATTAGAAGTTTCAAATCTAGAAATAGAACCAGTAATAACATCCTTTATACTTGGAGCACTTGGATTGGAGCTGAACCCTGCTCCTCTACTCCCATCCTCGGCTCCCTGGAGCGGTAATCCTCCGGATCCAATCAGATCAAAATTGATCTCTCCGTTAAAGCTTGGACTGAGACTGCTAGACTTGGGTTTGGTTCTCAGGTTCTCAATCATATCTTGGATTAATTGTCGTCGTTGTGCAACTCCAGACCCTATCAGGGCCAGGAGCAGGAGACCCACCAGGTTCATTCTCATCTCAGGGTCTCTGGTTCAACTGAAACCAGGGCTCTCTGGGTTTAGGTTATAAACTGTCGGGGAAAAATGAGCTGGATGTATGAGAGCTGATTCTACAGAAATCCCTGGGAAAATGTGATGAAAACTAAATTGTTCCAGAATAAACTCAAGAACGCGTTGAAATTACTTTATTCCCCGAAGTTCGTGAGAACGTGAACTAAACATGTTTTAAACTTTAGAATTCCTCCAATAATTATAAAATAAACAATTTTTAAACGTTGGCACGTGCCATTTTCATACTTCCGTAATATTCCCTGTACAGAGAGCCGAGAGAGCCCCTTACCTTTAATTCATGCTTGACACGTGTTTAGGCAGTTAGGCAGTAACACCTGATTTAATATTTATTTTCTGGTGTTAAACTGTTTTACACCAGTAACACGTCCTTTCTACGTGTCACAATGATCTGTGTTTACGCTAAATATTTCACTTTTTTCTAATTGCTAAAACATTATTTCTGAAAAAATTATTGAATTAATAATATACGCTTTATATTTTTAAACTACAATTAAACTTGTCAGAAGAAACCCTCTAACTTTTTGTTAGAAATTACGGGCGGAATGATAGGAATTTAACAATCTAAGAGATATCTCTAACTATAATTTCTGACAAAGTTTTCGAAATTTCGAAATACTTTTTTGTTTTTAACGAAATGATATGTTTATTGTCGTAAAAAAAGTCCGTAACAAAATAAATTCTCAGCCATTACATAATGTTATGTAAAGACGACACCATTCTTCACACTTATCCATTGCAACAATACAAAACTATCAATCAAATTAATGGGACTGTAAAGGAAAAATGAAAGGGGGTATAGGATGAAACCTGAGAATCTCAGGCGTTGAACGATGCATATAAGACATCTATCTGATGTTCCTGTCTCGAGAAATTAATATAAAACTGTGTCAAAATTATACGAAAATCTATATATATAAAAATTTTGTATAAAAGTAGTAGGTTTAAACAGATTATTTGTTGAATATGATCTGTTTTATACTACAACTTTTATACAAAATTGCATATATACATGACACAGATTTATATCAATTTCTCGAGACAGGAACATCATATATGCCTCGTTCAAAGCCTGAGATTCTCGGGTTTTATCCTTTACCCCCTTTCATTTTTCCTTTACAGTCTCTTTAAGGAAGAACGAAGACAACTTTCTTCCTACAATTTTCTGGTTCTCACTTAATCGCCATTCAAGTAGAAAATACCCAAAATTAAAGGAAAATAGCCACAAAATTATAATATAATTAATTAGCCCATATTTCATGAAAACATTAAGAACAATGAAGATGATATCAAAGAAAAAAATTGATGGAAAAAATTAAAAGGTTAATAGGAAAACAATAGACACTTGTAAATCAAATCACTTTGTCCTCATGCATTCGACTGAAAGATGTAAAGAAAATTAAGAAAAAAGAAATATATTTTATATTTTTCGGCGAAATAAAAAATTACTGGATTTTAATCAAGAAGTGAAAAATTTATTGAGAAAATTAAGAAAATAAAAGATAATAAGAAAAAACATACAATTGTAAATTTAATAAAAAAGTAATTGTAATTCTTGTAATTGTTTTCAAATTATTTTCTCTGATTGATCAGTTGTAAAATACTTCCGTAAAGGTTCACTGCCATTTATTTTATGGTTGAATGAATAGAAGTATAAGGATAAGGATAAGGATAAGGATAAGGATAAGGATAAGGATAAGGATAAGGATAAGGATAAGGATAAGGATAAGGATAAGGATAAGGATAAGAATGAAGAAAAGGATATAAAAGCAAGAATATGAATAACAACGAGACAAACATTACAAGAAAATAAGAATAATAATAAGTATAAGGATACGTATATGAATAACATTAGGACAATGAATACAAGAATACAAGAATACAAGAATACAAGAATAAAAGAATACAAGAATACAAGAATACAAGAATACAAGAATACAAAAATACAAGAATAAAAGAAGAGAAGAATAAGAATAAATATAAGGATAAGTATATGAATAAGATCAGGACAAAGAATACAAGAATTCAAGAAAAAGAATACAAGAATAAGATTACTAATAAGGATAGGTATATGAATAACAAAAATACAAAGATGACAAGAATAAGAATACAAGAATATGAATAAGTATGGATAAGTATAGGAATAAAAACAAGACAAAGATTACAAGAATACAAAAATACAAGAATACGAATAGAAGAATAAGAATAAGTATAAGGATACGTATATGAATAACATTAAGACAAAGATTTCAAGAATATAAGAATAAGAATACAAGAATAAGAATAAAAGAATTAGAATAAGAATAAGTATAAGGATACGTATATGAATAACATCAGGACAAAGATTACAAAAATACAAGAACAAGAATAAGTATAAGGATAGGTATTTGAATAACATTAGGACAAAGATTATAAGAATACAAGAATAAGAATAGAAGAATAAGAATAGAAGAATAATAATAGAAGAATAAGAATAGAAGAATAAGAATAGAAGAATAAGAATACAAGAATAAGAATAAGTATAAGGATACGTATATAAATAACATTATGACAAAGAGTACAAGAATGCAGGAATAAGAATGAGTACACAAATAATATTCGAAAATAAAATGTAGATTAATATGGCGTATAACACCTCAAGTCTCGTATGAACTAATGCATCCTACATTTCTGCGTATTCACTCAGTTTTACAAGCGTATTTCCCTTGCGTCACACCAACCACGGTGCAGTCACGACACTGACGCGGTCTGCGTCAATCTATGACCCTTGGAGAAAATCCCGGTAGCGCCGGCGCCTGGAAATGCGTTAGAGCTACGCAAGTTCTGAACTGGTTGATTATGAACATCTGTTTACGCTTTTTGCGTCAATGCTGACATTGAATGGTATCGTGCGTCTTGAGCAGATGGCAGATTTTATAACGAAAATTTTATTAACTAAAATGATTGTCCTTGACCCAAACTTCTTGTGAAATAAAGCAGTGGTATGATCATGCATGTAGGTATATAGGGGGGGGGGGGGTAGACACCCTTTCTTCTTAAATTTATTTGCGTAAATAATTGAAAGATGCACAAATAAGCACGAAGGTGTTAATCTATATTTGATCTTGTCTGAAATGCGAAAAATTCGTCTGAAACTTTCTTCTGTACATTGTTACAATTTCTGTTTCTATAGAAAATGAGTTTTTACTAGAAAAATCTAATTTTTTGATCTCTATAGTTTTGTAGATTTTTAATATTTCAAACTTTAAATTAATTTTTTCATTTTTCATTTTGCCCAATACTTATTTAAAGGAAATGTGAGCGTAAAAGAGCATGCATGCATTTTGAAATATATTTATTAGATATGTGTGGACTCTTTTTAAAGTCAATAAATTCGTGTTTTCACGTTACCCTCACATTAATAGACCCTTGAAACGCTTAGTCTTTCCAAGATATTAATGAGATATCCATTATTTGTTTTATGTCTTTTATCATTTGTGGTTTTTCTGCAAAAGCAACTTGCACATTACTTGCTGTAGAAACAATAGAAAAATCATCAGAATTAAACAATTTTCAAATTCTGTACACATCGACCAGATTAAGGTTTCAAGGGTACCATTGTGAATCGGACATGTCCCTCGCCTAATGTTAAAATCTATCTAAAACATGATGATCCATAGTTGTAAACAAATTGAAGAAAAATCTGAAGAAAAATTCCTATATTTGAGATACCTTGCATGGGAGGTCCTTTTTTTGAAAAATGTGTCTAGTGCATGTATACGTTTAATTTAGAAAATACATAACAAACTATTTATGGAGAAAATGTGGCACTGATTTTTAATAAGAAATTATTTAATTTCTAAATAAAGATAACACAAAACTAGCAAAACCAGAATAGAGGATTAAAAACAACGAAATTTTGTCACCGACCCAAAAGTAAAAAAAAGGAATTCGGATAAAATATGAGAGACATGGAAAACTTATTGCTAACAATCATTGTTTAGCATATCTATAGTTCTTTCCATGACTGAAATAATTTGAATTTAAAATAATTTTTCCTTTAATTTAGTTGTTAATATGAAATAAAAACATTATAACCATTAAAAAGCATAATAAAAGTCGTCTTTATTGTATATCTCGTAAATTGTAGACGTCGATTAGATTCTGTTGTACCAAAACATTTTCAGTAATATATAACTCACAAGCAGTCGTAAAACTGTGGAATAGGAAGACGACCTTTCAACAATCTTAAATGAATTTTATGTTGTTATAAAGAAAATAGATTTTTTACTACAGTTTAATCCAGAACTGCGGAGTAGGGTTGCCACGAAATGACCATATTTTTGCATGAAATTTGCGTAAATTTCGCTTAGATAATTTTTTGGCGAACTTTTGCGTATCTTTTGCGTATGAAGCGCAATAAATTGTGCGTGTTTATTTATATAATAAACCGGAGGGAATTCATTTTCACTGGAGGGGTTTGAAAAAATGCTTTTTACAATTTAAAACTTTACGCAGGGTGAATTACATTCCACTGGAGGGACTCATATATCTTTCCAGGGGGTTTATAAATCCACTGGAGGGATTCAGATATCCTTCCTAGGGGTTTATAATTCCACTGGAGGGATTCATATATCTTTCCAGGGGGTTTATATTTCTGCTATAGGGAATTATAAACTCCTGGAAGGATATCTTAATCCCTCCATAGGAGTTATAAACCCCCAGGAAGGATTTCTGAATCCCTCCGGTGGAATTATACACCCCCTGGAAAGATATCTGAATCCCTCCAGTGGAACTATGAACCCCTAGATAGATATCTAGGGGTTAGTGACTTTTCAAACCCCTCCAGTGAAAACGAAATCCCTCCGGTGGCCTCCAGTAGAATCGAAATCTTACTACGATCTTCTTTGAGTCGTTAGAGTTTAATCTTTTATAGCATTTAACAACCATATTTAAATCACAAACCCGACAAAAAAGCCTAAAATAGCAACGACGAAAAATCTGCTTTTAATGGGTAAAATGAATTAAGGCTCACTTACTTTTAACCAGGACCTCTTGTTCTTCCGGGCATTGACGGCTTTCAATATTATTTCGAATTTTAAACAGAATTTTATAGAAGATTTTTATCAGCAAAACAAATGTTTTAGTTTTAACACATGCTATGTTTGCAAAAGAATCGAAGAAAGAAAAGACGACTTTACAAAGAAAAGAATGAAAAGATTAAAAAGAGTAAAAGATATTATCAAACATGAAGGATGTCAAAAATGGCGCGAATTAAAAAGAAGCTTAAAAATGCCCGTTTTTCATAGAACTTATATCTCTTTCACATTTTATAAAGCATTTTTTACTTTTTTTTTACATTGCAAATAAATCTTAATCTTTATTTCTAAAAGTTGTTAGTTCATTGTCGAAAATACAAACAATCCACTACCAATTTATATTAAATATAGTGTAAACAATAAACATGCAACTTTTCTTATCCTTTCCTTTTTCTTTTAATTCTATTTTTATATTTTTTTAGAATTGGGGGAAATATTCCCACAACCTCTACTTTTAGAGGTTTTTAAATATTTTCTCCTGAAACACTTAATTTTGTATGTTTTTGTTATATTTCATAAATAAATAATTTTTTTAGTTACTTTACTTTGTCGATATATGGTTTAATCTCAGACGCTGAACATTTCTTGAACGCATTTTTTAAATCTTAATCATACTTTGGGTAGATTTCGCGTGTATCAACGGATTAAAATTAAATCCCTTAATCCCAAATTTTACAAGATCGACAGAATATTTTGTCGCTGAAGCTTAGCGCCATCCCAAACTAAAGTATCGCCCTCAGGTCAAACAAATGGTTACCCAGAAATGAGACTTTACAGACGACTTTACAGACTTTACAGACTTTACAGACGACTTTACAGACGACTTTACAGACTTTACTTTACAGACTTTACAGACTTTACTTTACAGACTTTTCAGACTTTACTTTACAGACTTTACAGACTTAACTTTACATACTTTACAGACTTTACAGACTTTACAGACTTTACTTTACAGACTTTACAGACTTTACAGACTTTGCTTTACAGACTTTACAGACTTTACAGACTTTACAGACTTTACAGACTTTGCTTTACAGACTTTACAGACTTTACAGACTTTACTTTACAGACTTTACTTTACGGAATTTATTCAGTCTTTGTCCTTATATATAGAAGCCCCTGCAGCTGTCAGCTAATCTTTTTTTGTAAAATCACTTAGAATCCCATTGGTGAAGTCACATTTCTTACAGAAAATCCAATTAAATGTACAAGGTTCTTATATTTTGAAGAGTTTCAGATTGTCATGAAAGTTTCATTTATAATTTAGTTATCAAACATTTATTATTTCAAGTGACCCTCCATGCAAAAATGCCTATACCCGATTCACAACGGTACCATTTAAAGCTTTGTCTGACCAAGTATGAATTATATATAAATGTTTATAATTTTATAATTTTGAAAACTGATTATTCACAATTGTAATTTCTCTTGAAAATTTATTTGCGAATTTTTACTGCAGGAAACATGTAGGATTTATCAGAATTATACACTTATAAACCTAGAAAAACGACATTGTTTGTAAAATAAAGATTGTGAATGAGACAAGGACATATTTGCTTGCAATGTCACTTGGAATTATGCTTTACAGTACCTTTATGTTTTCAGCAGTAGAAATGCACAAGTCACTTTTTGTCGAGAAACCACTGTTAGAAGTAAAAAAATGTTTAAAATAATAAACATTGCTATCTTATTCAGGCTTGATTAGACAACGCTTTTAATGGTACCATTGTGAATCGTGCATTGTCCCTTATTGCATGAAGGACCACTTAAAAATACGCGTACAGTCCCTTCAGTAAATATTTGTTTAAATATATCTTCTGTGACATTTAGACAATATTTAGAAAATCTTTAAAAATATTAAAATTCTCATTGTCCGAATTTAATGAATTTAAGCCGCGTCTAAAATCCCCCCAAAAACTGGTTTCAATTGAGCGCCGGCTTAAATCTTGAAAAATCTAATACAAATTTAAGTGGAACCAACCATATTTGAGCCGCGGCTTAAATTCTTAAAATTAGGTCTCTGGTTAAAACTTTTTATGTATTTTTAACGTCTCCGGTGGTCGAATTTAAAGAATTTGAGCGGCGGTTTAAATTTAAGCCGCGGCTTAAATATGGTTGGTTCCACTTAAAATTGTATCAAATGTTTCAAGATTTAAGCCGGCGCTAAATTTAAACCGGGTTTTGGCGGATTTAAACCGCGGCTCAAATTCTTTAAATTCCATCTCTGTTAATATAATAAAGTTTCTGTTCGTAGATTTCCAGTAGGTTGAACGTATCATAGAATATTTAATAATTTCAATTTTTGTGTAAAATCAAAGGTAGAGGAGCTACGAGGTCACAACGTCGTTCTGTTGAATCGGCTGAGCGATATCTGAACCAAAAGTTTGAGCCTCTGGCCAGGGAATCCCCTTTAGTCATATCAGGTATATAGTTTATAGTGCAAACTTTGGTTTAGGGAAAGTTGGGTTGGTAGGAGAAATTATATATTTATTAGAAGTAAAACATACATTGGTAGAGCAACACAAAGTACAAAACATGAGAAGTAAAACATACATTAAACTTAGCATTTTTTTAATTTATACAATGAAACACTTTAATTTGAATTGTAAATAAAACCTGTTTTATGAATTATAGTGTTCTTAAAGGGAGTGACCGATTAGATATGGTAGTTATAGCTCAGAGTGCAGTATTGTAAATAAGTTTTATTCATCAACTACCATGTTTACGTAGTCACTCCCTTTAATAAAAAATATTTGTTTTACGTTTTCCTTGCATTAAAAACATTTTACAGTTTTTTATTAAACTTACTTAATCATATTTGTTATATATTTGTTTCAGCTCTCTGTTTCAGCTCTCTTTTCATCTCTCTGTTTCAGCTCTCTGTTTCAGCTCTCTGTTTCAGCTCTCTGTTTCAGCTCTCTGTTTCATCTCTCTGTTTCATCTCTCTGTTTCAGCTCTCTGTTTCATCTCTCTGTTTCATCTCTCTGTTTCAGCTCTCTGTTTCAGCTCTCTGTTTCATCTCTCTGTTTCATCTCTCTGTTTCAGCTCTCTGTTTCAGCTCTCTGTTTCATCTCTCTGTTTCTCCTCTGCTTCCACTTTATTCTCCAAACCGGACTGTAAACGTAATTTGAAAAACCCGCCATTTAAAGCGTAGTTTGACCAATTCACAACAGTACCCTTGAAATTCACAATGGTACCCTTGAAATGCACAACGGTGCCCTTGAAATTCACAACGGTACCCTTGAAATTCACAATGGTACCCTTGAAATACACAATGGTACCCTTGAAATTCACAACAGTACCCTTGAAATTCAAAACAGTACCCTTGAAATACACAATGGTACCCTTGAAATTCACAACAGTACCCTTGAAATACACTATGGTACCCTTGAAATTCACAACAGTGCCCTTGAAATACACAACAGTACCCTTGAAATACACAATGGCACCCTTGAAATACACAACAGTACCCTTGAAATTCACAACATTGCCCTTGAAATACACAACAGTACCCTTGAAATACACAATGGTACCCTTGAAATTCACAACAGTACCCTTGAAATACACAACAGTACCCTTGAAATACACAATGGTACCTTTGAAATTCACAACAGTACCCTTGAAGTACACAATGGTACCCTTGAAATACACAATGGTATCCTTGAAATACACAATGGTACCCTTGAAATACACAACAGTACCCTTGAAATTCACAACAGTGCCCTTGAAATTCACAACAGTGCCCTTGAAATACACAACAGTACCCTTGAAATACACAATGGTACCCTTGAAATTCACAACAGTACCCTTGAAATACACAATGGTACCCTTGAAATTCACAACAGTACCCTTGAAATACACAACAGTACCCTTGAAATTCACAACAGTACCCTTGAAATACACAATGGTACATCCTAATGAACGAGTGAACATGTTGGTCTTCAAGTCTCTGGTAGACTTGACTTGACTTGAAGATGTATACGAGGTCACCTTATAGCACATGTTCATGAAGACCGTTCACGTTTGACTGGATTCGGTCTTGCTTTTTACAAGAATAAACATATAAAGAAAAAAAAACACGATTGAAAATGTCAGATTTGTTCAGTGAATAAACTGGGATGTATATTATTTATCCTTGATCAAATCAAACCAAGTTTAAAGGATACCTTTGTAAATAGAACATACCATAAATGGAGGGTCACGATTATAGTTTCTAATTTACCAATATTTTTACCAAAAACTGAAGTGAATTTAATATCTCAGATTCCGGAAATGATTTTACTGGAAGAGTTAGAACTCGTCTTCCAAACCACTACTGTTGTTGTTCAACAGAATGCCAGGTTAATATCTTGAACAAGCTATTATTCACAACAATTGTTTTATTTAATGCTTTGTTATTGTTTTAAAGTATTAACTTAGTACGTTTTATACAGGGGGTGGCAATGTACGTTTTATACAGGGGGTGGCAATGTACGTTTTATACAGGGGGTGGCAATGTACGTTTGATTAGGTATAGATTGTACGGTAATAGTTGAGAAATTAGATATAGTCGATTATGAGTTATAATTTGTTTGTTTTGTTTATTTGTATGTCTGATCATAACTCAGAAACCCCTTCTTCGATTTGGGGAGATCGGTAGCACCACGGGAATATTCTTAACTTTCTTTTAGAAATCTAAGTATAGGGTTGAGGATAGGGTATAGAGAAAGTTTAGTTTCCTGGCAAAGCTGAGTTCCCGAGCTCATCAATATTTGTACATTCTTTTTTTCCACGACGAACCATAATTGCTAATGGATTTTATTTTATATTCATACAATAATCAGAAACAACATGTTTGCATTTATTCTTAGGAAGAAATCCATTAGAATTTATGGGATTCTTTGCAGGAAAACTGTGATTAATCTTTTTGAAATAAATTATTACGGAAAAAAATCAAAACAATCAGAGTACTCTACTAGATCTACGGAGCAATAAGAGTAATCTACTAGATCTATGGAGCAATAAGAGTAATCTACTAGATCTACGGAGGAATATGAGTAATCAACTAGATCTATGGAGAAATCAGAGTAATCTACTAGATCTCTGGAGAAATCAGAGTAATCTACTAGATCTACGGAGGAATATGAGTAATCTACTAGATCTACGGAGCAATAAGAGTAATCTACTAGATCTACGGAGCAATATGAGTAATCTACTAGATCTACGGAGCAATAAGAGTAATCTACTAGATCTACGGAGCAATAAGAGTAATCTACTAGATCTATGGAGAAATCAGAGTAATCTACTAGATCTACGGAGAAATATGAGTTATTTACTAGATCTACGGAGCAATAAGAATAATCTAATAGATCTACGGAGAAATCAGAGTAATCTACTAGATCTACGGAGCAATAAGAGTAATCTACTAGATCTATGGAGGAATCAGAGTAATCTACTAGATCTCTGGAGAAATCAGAGTAATCTTCTAGATCTACGGAGAAATAAGAGTAATCTACTAGATCTACGGAGATATCAGAGTAATCTTCTAGATCTACGGAGAAATAAGAGTAATCTGCTAGATCTACGGAGAAATCATAGGAATTTATTAGTTCTACGGAGATATCAGAGTAATCTGCTAAATCTACGGAGAAATAAGAGTAATCTACTAGATCTACGGTAAAATCAGAGTAATCTTCAAGATCTACGGAAAAATAAGAGTAATCTACTAGATCTACGGAGAAATCAGAGTAATCTTCAAGATCTACGGAGAAATAAGATTAATCTACTATATCTACGGAGATATTAGAGTAATCTACTAGATGTACGGAGAAATCAGAGTAATCTACTAGATCTATGGAGAAATTTGAGTAATCTACTAGATCTTCGGAGAAATATGAGTAATCTACTAGATCTACGAAGAAATCAGAGGAATTTACTAGATCTACGGAGATATCAGAGTGATCTGCTAAATCTACGGAGAAATCAGAGTAATCTTCTAGATCTACAGAGAAATAAGAGTAATCTACTAGATCTACGGAGAAATCAGAATAATCTACTAGATCTACGGAGAAATACGAGTAATCTACTAGATCTACGAAACAATCAGAGTAATCTACTAGATCTACGGAGAAATAAGAGTAATCTACTAGATCTACGGAGATATCAGAGTAATCTACTAGATCTATGGAGAAATAAGAGTAATCTACTAGATCTACGAAGAAATCAGAGGAATTTACTAGATCTACGGAGATATCAGAGTAATCTACTAGATCTATGAAGAAATCAGAGTAATCTACTAGTTCTACGGAGAAATAAGAGTAATCTACTAGATCTACGGAGATATCAGAGTAATCTACTAGATCTATGGAGCAATAAGAGTAATCTACTAGATCTACGTGTTATAAACATGAAAAGTTGAAATGTCGTCTTGAGTTTTTAGTGGCAGTGCAATTGTCGAGTTATAACTGTAATTTTTAACCAATTTTTGAACAGCTCTGAAGTCAGAACTGTTGTCTTGTGAATTTCGGGATCAAGTTTTGATCTCCATTTTTTCATACATCTAGATTAATGTATTAATCTAATTCCTCTGTGACGTCCTGCGATGATCAGACCCCCCTGGAAAAACTTTAATTAAAGAATTAAAAATAGTTCCTCAAATTTAAAAGGCCCATCGTGGATATCGAGATCAAGGGTTCAAAATTGAAAAAAACACACAATGACAAAAGTTTTGATTTCGAGCATATTTTTAGACAACTCCTGTTCTAGGATTCGGCATATTTAAATTTTAAACGAAGTTCGGCAAATATTGTTTCGACCGTTTTGCTGCCTGTTGGGATCAAAGAAACCAATGGAGAGTAAAATAATAATCTGGAGACCCCCTTTCATCGGAAAACTATTAGAGACCCCCTTTCATCGGAAAACTATTGGAGACCCCCTTTCATCGAAGATTTATTGGAGACCCCCTTTTTTTGGAGAACTATTGGAGACCCCCTTTCATCGGAGAACTATTGGAGACCCCCTTTTATCGGAGAACTATCGGAGACCCCCTTTCATCAGAGAACTCTTGGAGACCCTCTTTGGTATATTAATCGATCAGAGACCTAGTTCCCTCCAGATTTTTCATTTAGACGTAAACATGTTCATCTGACACCCCCACAACACATTGAAGATCTTCATTCTTTCATGGGAGGCCCTCATTTTAGAATACTGATTAAATGCTTGGATCTCCAACGAAAAGGTTTGGGTCATTGATATTAATCTTGGGGTCTTCGCCGAAATAAGGGATCACCAATAAAAATCTGGGGTCACTGATCAAAATTTGGGATGTCCAATGAAAAGGTTCGGGCCCTTGTAGAAATATCTGATAAAATGTTTGGATTTTTGATTAATTGAGGGTGTCCAGAGTGGGACGTGGGTCTTTGATGAAAAGATTTGTATCCTCGAAATCTAATAATGGTTATTTTTTGCATATAATTAATGGTTTGATAAAATAGTTTAATCCATTATCTCCAACAAACACAGAAACCATTTAAACTTTCTCGGAATCACTTTTCCCAAATAAATATTTAGAATTAAAGAATATGCATTCCATGCCATGTTTTTCAAACATGTTCAGATATATAATATTACGATTTAATAAGCCTGCGGGAAAACTTGTTGTTAACAAAATAAATATTTTGAGGGAAATTAAAGATAGAATAATGGTATTTTTTGGGTTAAAAGTCCTTAAAATCCTGTAAAAATACTCAAAAAGCATTAATGTATAGTTTTTAATAAAAATTGTTATTTCGATTATATTGAATTTTGGAGTATATATCAAATAGAGACTAAACCTGAAGTTCTACAAATATTTGATGTGAATTTTGTCAGGATACATTCGGTCAGAGATTTAGATTTTTTACATTTCTTAACCGAAGATTTAATTTCATATCTGAGCAGCACAAACTTCATGTCTAAAGGGGTCATAGACGTAAGAAATAGTCCTTTAACCTATTTATTAAATGAAAATCTAAAAAGCTACGATTTAGTTGTATTTATAAAAGTTTTAATGTAAAAAAAGTATGCTAATTATTGAATGATTATGATTGAGTTTAAAATTTTTTCAATTTCCTTATGGTTTATTTTCAATGCAAAAATTTTTATATAGATTTTTTAAATGTTTTCATATTAATCTAAAATGCAGGCCCGTATCTGGGAATTTTGNTAAGAAGGGGGGTGCCGTAGGGAAAAGTTTTTTTTTTACCTGAAAAACTTAAAAAGGGTCAAAACTAATGAATGATGAATAAAAAACTAGATTTTAACTTATCACACATTATAACTCATTAAGATAGATATTTTGCCTGTTTTCTTTCCCTTAAATGCTCTTGAGAATCTATTTGCATCAAAACAAAAAAACTGAAGGTATTTAACATGTGGAGATTTGAGTTAAACTATAAAAAATGTATTACTGAAAATTTTTGAAACACAAATAGACATGCAATTCGTATTTCTAATACAGAGAAAGTATAGAATACAGAAAAGCTCAAGCATGAAAATCTTAAGTTTAAACCAAAATTTAAGTTCGAAAAATACTCCTCTGCAAGCTTGAGGATAAGCACAAACAGCTTCTCCTAAGCTTCATTAGAATAATTAATCTGAGAAAAGAAGGGAAAAGAATAAGCTTCTCAAAATACAAACAAAAATTTAATCCATCATTTAACAAGACAGGATCGAAAGAAATAAAATTTCCAAATAAATTATTTCAGAAAGCATTAAATTTTGAAGAAAAAATAATCTTTACAGATAGTATTGGTAACAAAAATTAGATTTTATGCCAATTTTCTCTCTTTTTTCTTCTATCTTTCATTTTTCGTTTCCTTCTTTTCATTTTTTCATTTTCTTCTTTTTTGTCTCAGAAAGTGTGCCCCCTTTCGGGGTAAATGGGGGGGGGGGCACGTGCACCTGTGCCCCCTAGCTACGGGCCTGCTAAGATGTTTTATTTTTTAATTTAATTGTAAAAATGTCACTTGAAGTTACGTTTAAAGGGGAGGGAGGAGGGTGTGAAGCCTTTTTTTTTGGTAATTTTATCATCAATAAAGATAATAAAGATTAAGGACTGTTGTAAAGTTTTTAATCAAATGCAAATTTAATTTCCAAGGTTATTCTGTTAATGTTTCATGCCGACAGTTGTAGTTATTATATATATTTAGTGGAGAATACTTAATATTTTCAACTTTGTTATTTTTAACTTTTACAAACTCAATTCAACTTCATGGGATTTTCTGCCAATGTTTTGGTTACAACAAAAACAGAATTAATTATTTCTTACAAAAATTGTTTTCAAAAATAAAAATAAACCAAGGTTGCCCTGTTTATAAACCTAATAAATATTTTAATTATAAATATTGAAAAAGGAAGAATAATTTCCCCTTTATAAGGAAAGGAAATGCATGTGTGTAATATAGTTTTAGTTTTACGGAACCTCTCGTTAAAACGAGTCCAAATTATTAAATATTTAACTTCATACAATGTCTTCTTTTTCTCTAGATACTATAAAATGTCACCAACGATTCTACAACTTGAAACTGAGCAATTTCAAAAGATGTGCTCTGAACCAGTTTCAAAAATTGTTTGCTTGTTTCCGGACTCAATCAAGATTTCTTCATTTCTGTACACTAGCTTATATATAATCGTGGATTTTCCCATCGTTTTCAGTGTTTTGTAGTTACTCTCTCTGTAAATCATGCCGGCTTTATAAGCCTATAATTTTATTAGTTTTAAGGCAGCCAAACTACGCTGATTTCCTCATTCTTAAGTTTTTTAAAAACTTTGATACATTTTATTGACACCCTTTTATTTTAAAAACGTTTTTTGAAATTCTAAATGCAGTCTCTTTAACCAGAAAACCCTCAGACATAAACAAATTAATTTTAGAATAAGAAGAAGAAGAATAAGAATGGAACCTGATCTCGAAAAGATTGCTGAAGAACTTATAAAACATGGAAGTGAAATTATTCAACCTACGACCTCCGTCCAGGAAGCAGAGGCCATAAAGGTAATATTGAAATAACCTTGAAATTTTTTTTAGTATAAAATAAAATTAATTATCTTTGATCTACTTTCATGCACTTTCACAAAATTATCGCTGAATTTTGAAGAAAAAAATATATATTTCTGGTAGAAAGTATCAATGAGATTGAAACTTTTGTAATGTGAATCCATTTCGAAAGCACTAATCCGTATTTTTGTTTTTCAACGGATTAAGTTAACTTACGGCTTAATTATTAAACACTATTATTAAACACCTAAGGGACTGTCCGCGTAATTTCAAGTAAATCTTTTTGCAAAGATTCACAACATTACCCTTTAAACCATTATCTGATCAATAATGTGGAAGATATTGTAATTTTTCCAGGTTTAAAATTATTAAACTGGGATCATTAAATGGCGGCAAACCTTATAGAAATCCAACGTATAGAAACTGCTACGTATAGCAACAACAAAGTGAATAATTTATTCACTTTGTAGCAACAAGGCGTATTTTTCATATTTTTGAGAAATTAAACTTTTTTGTAAAACATTGTAACTTATCATCATCGTTATCATAATTTCTATTTTTTTTAACATACCCTAGACATTAAAGGAGCAAAATAGTTTAATACGTACATTTTTACAGTTTAAGGTCCCCCATGGATTTTATTATGTACTGACAACATAAATGAATGATTATATGGTTATACATAAATTGTGTGTTACTATTAAAACAGATATTTTATAAAATGGTATCTACAGTTTTATTTTTAGAAAAAAAAATATTAAAAGTTATTAAAAGTATAAAAAAAGTTCTCTAGTAATGCTAATATGATTTTATAAAATTCCGTTTTACCATTTAAATAAAAGGATTTTATGAAAACTATATCTACTTTACACTGATTATTTAATTTCTCAAAAATATAAAAAATGTTCTCCCGGAAAATGCCCCTTGTGGCTATACGTACCGGTTTCTATACGTTGGATTTCTATAAGGTTTGACGCCTAAAAAAATATTATGAAATAAATTTCAAGACGACATTTCATGCGCTGTTGCTATGTAACTCGCAAAGAATGAAACTGTAAATACCTTTGATGATTGTTGATTATAAGATTGAATTGCATTTTTTGTCTTGAACATTGTCTTAGTATGGCTTATTTAATGATTTGGCATAGGGCAAAACAATATTACAATTGCAGATAATTGTGAATACAAGAAATCAGACAGTATAAATTCCGTAAACTCGTGTCTAAAGTCTCATCCTTTGTGGGTAACCCTGTATCCTTATATCTAAGATTGGCTGCAGTATAATATCAATGGTTGCACAAATATTTTGTGGCGAGTAATCAGTTTCTTGAGTATTACAGAACATTATTTTATTTTCAGGATAAATTCGCCTCTTCTGTGACCATTAACATTTATAATTTCCTACGCGAGCCTTTACTTGCCCTTAGAGCGGTCTCACGGGCAGGCGAGGTTTGTATTGAAGACGACAAAGATCTTCAACTAAATATTCAAATTAATTTGCGGCATCGAACATTGACCATGACGCTCTTGTCACTTGTGTAAAAAAGTTTTTAAAGTAAACAAAACATTGAAGTCATGGAATTGGATTTTTTATTTCACTTTTAGATGTTGACCTGTTTTTATTTTGCTTTTTTTCATATAACTTTTCTATATAACAGAATTTTTTTTCAATTTTTTTTCTACGGGCAACGCCGTGATCTTCAGCCAGAAATTATTAATTCCCTCTAAATTCACTTTATACTCTCGTTATAGATTATCTGACATTTCCCAAAATCGTATTATTCTTAACAGCAGCTTCCTTCTCTCCTCAGCTCAGTCAGCTCTGCCCAAGGAATTGGGCCTTTGTCACAAACTCAAATTTTCTAATCCCTTTATCTTTTCAACCTGACGGTTTGATTTCGTTCGTGTTTAAAGACTTTTCACATTTTTGGAAATTAAAAAGATTTCACAAAATTTTTAAAAGATGTTTAAAAAATTTCAAAACTTTTTTTTATTATTTTCTTACCATATTTTTCTTTTTTCTAAATTTTTTTTACTTTATTAATTTCTTTCTTGCTTGGCACAACCGTACAATTATCATCATTCCATTTATCCTTTTTTTAAATCTAAATCAATTGATTTATTTGATTTATCGATAGATTGAGGTTCCAGTCAGTGACATACCAAGTCTTTCCAGAAGTGCGCTACTATGTGGCCGGTTAACCCGCCCAGTTTCCAGGTAATCCTCCATCTTTCTTTTTATCTAGAGATTTCTTTCTGTGCGGGTAATTTGTTAATCTAGATATTCTTGAAGTTATACCTAATCCCATTAAACCTTTTGTGTAAAAATTTAAATCTATATAATTAACAAATGACATATTTTAAAGCAAAAACTCCAATAAATTTTCGCGTCGTTATTTTTAAGGAGTTTTATTAAAGGCTCATCCCTGCACCCTTGAACAATTCTTCTACTTTGTGAGACACACTAGCTAGAGAAGTGGTTCAACTACAGTCGTCGTCGTATATATCAATACAATGAAGACGACTTTCGATTTAACTTTTAAACAGCATTAAAGATATACATTAAAATGGGCACAAAGAGAAGCTGTCAATTTAATGCTTGTCTTTATTTACTTGTAAAATGTAAACTTTTAATTTGAAAAAAGTTTGTTAGAAATCAAAGCTTGAATAGAAAAATCGTCTTCATTGTATTGATATAAACGCCGACCATTATACATCTATTTTATTCAATTATTGACGTGATAAGTATAACCCCTACATGTTTGATTTTGAACCTTTTTTGGTTAAATCCGTCCCCGAAGCATTTATGGAATATAGATTCATAGAAGTCGTTTCTCTCACGTCTGGAAACACTTTAATGTTTCTTATTACTTACCTCCTTTAATTTTTCGCGAACACTCCTTTTAGAGGGACTGACATGTAACCGTAAATTCCAGTGACCGTCTATGCAAAGTCGGCAATGCTGATTTAAACCGGTACCCAGCCTTGAAACCTTTATCTGATCAATAATGTGGAAGATAACGTCGTTTTTCTGACTCGAAATTGTTTATTTCTGATCATTTTCTCATTTTTTCTATAAGCAAGACAATCGCAAGTCACTTTTACAGAGAAAGCACAAACGAAAATAGACAGTTTAAAAAACAAAAACATGGATATCCAATGAGGGTCACTTAAAATTAATCATAATGTTCATTTAGTAATTTTTTTTTTTCTCTACTGTTGTGGGCTATATTATCAACATACAAAACTTGTTTAGTTGTGGTTGTGCTGGAACGGTTAGCTTTGGAATTGGGTCTATCAAAGAAAACTTGCATGTGATGTGGTCCTCACCGAACAATTTTGACAAGCTGGCGTCTCACCTTGCAGTTGGAATTTCACAGGTATTAAGAGACTGATTTTTTGTCACAAACTCAAATTTAAAAAATCCCAATATCTTTGCAACCTAATAGTAAATGAATGCGACATTGGGTTGCAAAGATATAGGAATTAGAAAATCCGAGTTTGTGGCAACAACTCAGTTCCTTTTAGAAAAAATCCCAAGATTAGATTGGAGGCCAGAATTTTTGGAATCATAATCCCTTATCATAATCTTTTGCAAGAACAACAAATTAAGTTATTTCAATTGGAAGCCACAACACTTTGATTTCACTACTCACTAGAAGGGGATCATTCATTTGGCGTACCGTCCCGGTTTGCCTCCCTGTACATTTAGCTCTAGCTGGTTAAAAGTTAGTCCGGTACTTGAACCGAAGAGAAGCGCGCTTACGGTGACAAGAATCTAGACATTTCAATGATTCCTTTCAAAATTAAGAAAAGAAAGACGACCTCAAAGCAATCTTTTCTATATGATGAATTGTTATCACGCAAATAGTTTTAATTGCAGCTTAAAAATCAACTTCAGATAAATGGTAAATATTTAAAGTATAGCTTAAAATTACGGTTTAATTTAATTCACAAGCGGCATTTAAGCTGAAATTTAAGATTAAAACGCTGTAACTTTTCGTTTTTAAGTTTGGACTCAAAATACAAAAAAAGGTTTTCTATAATTTTGAATTTTAAATATTTTTACTTATGTTCAAAAGAAAAAATTAAGAGAATTATTAAGAGAAAACAGTGATGGAAAATATATCTATTCTAGGAAACAGTGATGGAAAATATATCTATTCTAGGAAAACAGTGATGGAAAATATATCTATTCTAGGAAAACAGTGATGGAAAATATATCTATTCTAGGAAAACAGTGATGGAAAATATATCTATTCTAGGAAAACAGGGATGGAAAATATATCTATTCTAGGAAAACAGAGATGGAAAATATATCTATTCTAGGAAAACAGGGATGGAAAATATATCTATTCTAGGAAAACAGTGATGGAAAATATATCTATTCTAGGAAAACAGTGATGGAAAATATATCTATTCTAGGAAAACAGGGATGGAAAATATATCTATTCTAGGAAAACAGTGATGGAAAATATATCTATTCTAGGAAAACAGGAATGGAAAATATATCTATTCTAGGAAAACAGTGATGGAAAATATATCTATTCTAGGAAAACAGGGATGGAAAATATATCGTTTCTAGGAAAACAGGGATGGAAAATATTTCTATTCTAGGAAAACAGGGATGGAAAATATATCTATTCTAGGAAAACAGGGATGGAAAATATATCTATTCTAGGAGAAATCTGATAAATTTATCGACATGTACTACAACCATGACACGTGGTTTACAAGGAAATATGTTTATCATGACAGTAAAGGAATCTGGTTTCATTCGCCACATATTCTTATATTCGCTAAATCCTCAACAAGGTTAGTATCATAGCAGTTTTTTTTACGAACATTTCCAAACAAGGAGTATGAAATAGAAGGGAGATATAACATGCTTTGCAGACGGGTACTTCATTTTTATAAAAATATTCAAAATAGGTTATTGTATATGCGGTAATTGTACATCAGACAAATATTTCTTACATAAATAGAGTACCCGTCTGTAAACCATGTAATAATCATACGGTAGGGCCAACCGCGTCAGTTATACCTACCTTCTATTCCTTACTCCCTGTTTCCAATGCATTTTTATATTCGTCCGAAAATTTTTTTGACTTTTTCACAAACATTGATTTTGTAATCCCTATATTTTTAAAAACAATTTGTTATTTTTAAATTTTTAATCTTATAAATTGGATACAGTTGTTCTGGAAAGTTCTGATTTGATTCTTCTTCTTTTCATCGTTTCTCTCCTTCTTCCTTTTTTCTTTTCCTTTTGTATTTTTTGACTTTCCAGTTTTGCACTAGGTTTTCTTTGCCTTAAGTGCTATTGAGAAGCTATTCTGAAATCTCAGGGGCGGGCTACGCCCCCTGAATCTGTCAGGGTAGTGCGAAGGTCCTTCCGCCCCCCTGTATCAGCCCCTGGATATGGGTTATATACCACCCTCCACTCCGTATACTGTATACTAAAGAACTAGAAGAACTAATAAAAATGTAATATGCAATAATATTTTTGATCAAGAAGAAAAACACACCAAAAATATTTAACTTCTTTGTTTAGGATTTCAACCAATATTTTTATTAACTGTTTATGGTACATTAAAAACTAAACGCCAGATTTAATAAAATTACACTAGAATGTTTTGTTGTTCCTCTAAGATTGAGATTATTTTTAGACCAGTGGCTGATGTAGATGTTTATGTGTATCCTATGAATCCTGATAATCTTCCAAAAGAAGCTAAAGAAGTTGTCAAATCCTTACTCTAGTATCCAGGTACAGTAGTTACCTCCAGAGCCCCAAATTTAAAAGAGTATCGTTGAACGAAACCTTTGAGTTTCCTTTTTGGGGTCTTAACATTTTGTAGATTTTGATTAAAGAGATAAAAAAATGGAGTATATGAAGAAATTAAATAAAAAATTATTTCATAACAAAATATTGATATCCACAAAACTGCCTAACCCCATTCTTGAAACCCGGGTTTCAAAACTGGTTTTCTCAATCATCTTATACAATTTTTTATTGTTGTTAAAACTAATTAAATTATATTTTTTAGTGTAATTGTACTGTACCCGACTTAGAGGAAACATTGAAACATCTACACTCTTGTAATCACATCAAAGTTGACCTTTAAAGGGACTGCAACGCGTAATTTCAAGCGACCGGTTGACCTCCGTGCAAAGATGGCATTGCCCTATCCACAACAGTACCCTTGAAACCTTTATCTGATCAATAATATGGAAAAAAATCTGTTTTCCTGCAGAAGAAATGCGCAATGCACATGTTTAGAGAAATCACGATTTAAAAAAATCAGTTTTTCAAATTACAAACATTAATATCTCATTCATAATTGATAAAACAAAGCTTTTAAGGGTACCGTTGTGACTCAGACATAACCATCTTTGCATGGAGGGTAACTTACAGTCCTTTAAGAAGAATCCTTAAATATTTCTCCTTAATTCATCCTTTTCAACAACATTATAATACAATATCTGTTTTTTCATTGTACTTTCCTAACAAATTTTTTCTTCAGATGGAATCAAGTCTTTGGCCACAAACTGAAATTATTTTATCCCTTTTTCTTTGCAATCTCATGGTGTAAACCTTTGATGTTTTAAACTTAGCTTATTTGATCTAATAAGAATTCAACGTTTGAAATATCTAAGGTTTACGACACGAGATTTTAGGATTAGAAAATTAGAGTTTGTGGCAAAGACTCGATTCCAAAATTGTAGTTTTTTCTCAAACCAATCCAAATACTACGATGCCAGTGTACAGTAAGATATTACTATTGTGAGAATCTTTTTTCTTTTCGTGATACATTTAACATATCTTACTTTAAAAATAGAAGATTTCAAAACTTTATTTCGTCAATGCCATGAATTCACATTATCTGGCGACTATTAGATGCGACGTAAAATATATTTGTATATTTGTATATTTGATATCATTAGTGTGATTATATAAAAGTGTTGAAAAGGGACCATGTAGTCTAAAACTCAACAAAATCTATGTTTTTTGAAGAATCTAAAACTACAAAAAAAAACTCAAAAAAGGAACTATTATTTCATGATTCTAACTGATTTTAAAACTATATTTAAACTCAAGTCTCTCAGGAATTCAAGACCAATCCGTTGAAAATGCTCTTTTTATTTATCCTGGAACCAAAGGAATTGAGTCTTTGCCGAAGTCTTTTGGATCAAATAATATAAGTTTGAAATATGAAAGGTTTACTCCATCAGGTTGTAAGGATATGGAAATTAGAAAATTTTAGTTTGCGGCAATACTCAATGAATAACGAGAGCTAGCTGAATTGAGCGTACCATTTCCATCTCCTTGAAAACATAACTCTTTCAATTAAATAGTTTGTGATTTAATTTTAAACCCATGTTAATTGAATTTTTTGATGAAAATTGAGTAGAAGTTTTAGCATTTGCATACAATTACACAGTAGGTAAAGGAAAAGAAAGTATTGGAAGATAAAAAAGTTTGTAATGTACAATTTTTAGGGAAGGGGGGGGGGAAGGTCGGGGCCAAAGGGTTGGAGACATAGATAAGTAAATAAACATAGATAGCTTATGTACGCAAAATCACCAAGAATTATACAGTCCGCGAACTCATACTTCTAGGGGTCAAAGTGTACTTCAATGATAAGCGGGGTGGTTTGGTGTTTTAATGGATTTCATAATTATTAAACCTGCACTCAGGAGTGGAATATCAAATTATTTCACTGAGCAATATATCATATTGACGAGACAGAAGAAGGACATGAGAAGGACTAAACTAACTTAAATTTCTTTTTACAGAACTCATGTACACCACAAGTACTCGAAATGACATAAGAACAGCCAGTGTTCACAACCGACCTAGTTAATCTATATAATAGGAATATCTTTAAAACATCTCTGTACATTATATCTTTCAAGATGAAAAATGTCGTCTTATGCGCAATCTATCTTTATCTATGGTTGGAGATAATTGGCAATTAACGTACTTTTAAAAGTTATGTAACATAGAATTTAACAGTTCATATGAAATTCCGTTAAAAAAGAAAATTAATAAAAATGTATTATGATTTTAAACAGATAGCTACATTTAATATAGATTTATTTAAGATATACAAACAATTATAAAAACTTCTCCGTACTTTCGTTCATTCTACTTTCGATTTTTCCGATTTTCACACAGTACACCAAGGTTGTTGAGTACACGACTATAACACACAGTACACCAAGGTTGTTGAGTACACAACTATAGCACACAGTACACCAAGGTTGTTGAGTACACAACAATAGCGTACAGGCTTCCGTCAACTTTCTAACTCTTAATATATCGACCTAGAAAGGTAGGAAATAAATATACCTGAATTTTAAATTCAGATTTTTCGTGTTTTCCCAGTAGTTTGAAACAGAAACCTCCACCCTCTTCTGCATTATTTTACAGTGGGACCCAGAAATATGTGGAATAAGAAGACGACTGTTAAGTTATGCATTTAAATTGTCCAATGAACACAAAAGACAGCAATTGTGCAATATACACAGACCCATTTTACTTGATAAGTTGATTTTTAAGCTACTAGTCATAGAGTAATAGTAAAACTATTGGATGTACTACAACATTATAAATAAGCATATAGGGCCTAAATGTCGTCTCCCTTTTCCACAAACACTGTATATGTTTAGGGGAAAGATTTTTTAAGTGTTTTTCTAAATTATAAAGTTAAAAAAACCACCCCCTGTATTGATATTATAGTCAAGCAACATTCATTCCGTTCTTTACCAAATCCCCCACCCCAACCATTTGAGTCTGTAGACGAAATTCCAAGTGAATGAAATATCCATAATTTTATAGCTATAATTTTTTAGTTGTGATTTTTTTGTGAGAGTAAATTGACCACTGTGCTGAAGAGATTGAAAAGAAAATACTCAGATTTCAACATGTTTTAAGACGACGATCGATATCTTCCTCATTGTTACTCAGATAGATGTTTAGAGGGTACCGTTGTAAATTGGATAAGCCACTCTTTTTAAATGAAGCATCACTTAAAATTAAGATTAAAGAGTTAGAATTTAATGAATTCGCGCCGCGTCTCAAATCCGCTAATAACCGGGTTCAATTGAGCGCCGGCTAAATCTTACAACATTGAATATGATTTTAAGTGGAATCAACCATATTTCAGCCGCGGCTCAAATTCTTTAAATTCGGCCTCAGTTCTTTTAAAGTTTAAACACCTTAAGCTTGTTTTCTATGTAAGTAGAAGTACTGATTCTAAAATTAGTATCCTTGATATATGGAGTATAGACTGATCTCATCCTACAGTAATCTGACCTGGACCTGGAGAAATGAACCCTGGAGCACGAACCCTGCTCCAGGGTGTCATAACACTAGGATATCTATCAGAGTAGAGATATAAACGAGATAATTGAAGGCTCATCCATGTTCTGTTAATTCCTCACTGGTTATTTCTGTATTTCTATCGACTATCACGCTTTCAATAAAAAACTAGGCTTTCAGGGCGCTACGCGCCCATCTTTTATTTCAACTTGGAATTGTGACTCTATCGGTGAGCATTTTTCTTCGTAAAATGTAAAACAAAATCAAAAAAAATTGATGGATTTTTTCATATTTTTCGTGGATTTTTCAAAATTGTACGAAAATCGGATTCATGTAAGTTGCCAAAACAAATTTCGGGCCCTATCGGTTCAGCTGTTCATACGTTTATTGGACACAAACAAACAAACAGACAGACAGCTAAAGTATACATATATGCCAATTCCATTTAAAAGTAACAAACTATAAAATAAAATGATAAAATTAAATTTTGCATATTGTTTGAGGCAGGTTTGTAAACTTTTATATTTGTTTAATGTAATTTTGCTTTAGACAAATATAAATGATAAATATATGAGGCTGGTCGCCCATTTTCCTTTGAAAAAGATAAAATTTGTGAAATACTTAATTTTGTTTATAATTGGGATTAACCAAGAGGGGGGGGGGGGCTAACTTTAAAAGTACGGAAATTTTTTTTGAAACGGGCAATTGTAAGTTCTATTGTGCCCCTGTTGACAACTAAAGTTAGTATGTATGCTATTAAAAGCTCATGCTTATACAGTCTCAGTGTAATGTGGAGGAACAAATTAAAAAAATATTTTGAAAATAATTTTAGAATATTTACAATTCAAATTAGAAATTTTATTAATTTGTATTTAAACTTTTTAAAGATCCATTTTTTACTCTTTTTGAGTTCAAGTATTTTTGAACACCCTTTTAGATTTACGATATACATGAACTATATGTCATCATTGAATTAAATATTATTTTTATTTGTCCAACAGATTTAGGATGTGCTTTTTTATCGCAGTTTGTATCTACTAATTGTACAGTTTCCGGCCGAAATATTATATATCTAAATATAGATAAATTTATATATACATATATAAATTTTAATAACTCAGTTCTCCCAGTTTCAAGGCTACAGTGCACAGTGTTCAATACCTAAACTATATAACACCTGAAAATATTATGAACTTTTCGTGTGCTTTTTCTACTCAGAATTAGCCTTAGTTTTATGAAACATTACTAGTACGACATTGTGACCTCGTAGTTGTTTTGATACAAAAGTATACGAACATAAAATCTATCCGTTCTCATATTAGAAATTCAAAACATTTTTGTTTTTATCATGAATAGCTCTTCGATAAGAGTAGAAATGACATAAAAGATTTAAATCTTACGTAATTTTTTCGGAAGTTCACTTGGGGTTGAATTTACTCTCTCAAGGGGGGGGGGGGCTCACTTCTCAGCCCCTATCGCTCTCCTGAAATTTATACGCAATGTCCTAATAACCAGTATACTGACTAGTTTTTTATTTGTATATTTATGTATATCCCTAATATTTGGTTCATTTAACAGAAAAGAAAATTAATCTTATTACAATCCTATTTTAGTTTCGAAACAACTATTAAAAAAAAAATAGCTCAACAATGTTTTCTAACGTTTCAAGAAATCAAATTAAACAAACAAAACAAGATGGATGACAAAGACCAAAATGAAAAAGTTTAATATTAATTCTTTAGGTTGAATAGATACAAATGCGATATAAAAAAAAGTCAGTAATGAACTATAATAAATCTTTAATTCATAACTTTAATGATGTACCAATTGGGAATTCATAACAAAGTGAAAAGTATTTTTATAAATGATATTGGTTAACCCTTGGACGCCATTTTTGAAAATTTTCATGAATTTTCCCGCCAAAAGTAAACTGTTGCTTGATTCAAGGCTTCAACAATTAAAGTGCATTTTTATATATCCTGTCATGCAACTGCAGCCAATCGATGCAACCTTGTGCACTTTCACGTGACCAACTCAAACAGTACACTTAAAACATGGATTCTGAGGAGAACTTCTTTTTCTTAGAAAATCCATTAAAATTTTAAACAAAACCGGATTTATCTTAATAGGCACATCAAGGTTAGGTCACCCAATATATTTTGAAAATAATAAAGATTACTGTTTAACAAAATTAAAATGCTAAAACTATTAAATTCTAAAACTGTGTGTTGTTTAAATTCTTAAGTTTTGTTGAAATCAATACACGAAACGAGGCAGTGAATGATCGCAGTTTATTTAAAGGTTCACTCCCTACTACTCCACTAAAAACTATAGGCAGAGCTTCACATGTCCGGAATTCATATTATAAAAAAGTCAAAAGTGTCCAAATTAATGTTTTAATCTAACTTAAACTGGTTGGGTTTTGTGGCAGATTGCGTAATTTCCTTTTATTACTCAAAGGTTTTGTTCTGTTAATTTGTACTCTTTCAATGCTACTTAATTCATTTGTCAGATGTCCTTATCCATTTATTCAAATATTTTTAGGAGGATTTTAAAGTCACTCTAAAAATTTTGATTAAATTTTTCTTGACAAATTTTCACTAAAATCTGCAAAATATTTTATTTTTATTGTTTAATTATGTATACGAAGATAAAATTTTTGCAAATTAATAAAGATTGAGAATCGATTATTGCCCCTTAAAGAGGTGCGCCTTGTAGAATCAATCTGAACTTACTCTAATAAATCTCTTTATTAAGAAAGAAAAGATCTTTAAGAACAATTCAGGAATTAATGATCATGAAATTATACTGACGTCAACAACATTTTTAAAATATTCTTTTATTCATATTTATTCTTAAGATTTTTGATTGCTCTGTAAATAAGGTGATGTTCGCGTCATTTCAAATTTGACAGCTTATTTGATTTATAATTCACGAAAGGTGTTGTTTGCGTCATTTCAAGTCTTTCAAGTGTCCTTCCATTTCTAGACTCCTATGTCTGATTCACAACGCTATCCTGAAAATCTTTGTATAATCGTAGAATGAACTATAGATATCGATATTTATAATTATGCAAACTGATTTAAATTCAAATTGTGGGTTTTCTATAAAAATGACGTACGCATTTCTACTGCAGGAAATCCATGGAGAAATTATCAGAATTTATTACTTTTGAAGGTAGAGAGCTTAATGGATAAAGATTCATGCCCTTCCTTAAATGGAGGTTCACTTGAAATTACGGCTACACTACAGTACCTTTAATTCTTCCAACCCCTACCCTTCTCCCCCCCTCCTCCTTCTCCCCTCCCTTTCCCTCGTCCTTTTCCCCTTCTTCCCCCCTCCTCCTTCTCCCCCTCTTATTCACCCCCTCCCGTCTCCCCCTTCTCTCCCCCTTTCTATTTTCCCTTTCTAAAAGATGGGCGGCTCCGCATTTTTCATTGTACAATGTATATCGTGATGTGGTTTAGAAAGCCATAAAAGGAAAAATTTGAAACCTCTTATATATATTTTTACACTGTGTTATTCTAAACATGACAATATAAAGACGACCATAATATTATATTAAAGGGACTGTAAGCGTAATTTTAATTGGCCTCTATGCAAAGATGGCCATATCCGATTATCAACGATACCCTTAAAAAGGTTTGTCTGATCAAGTATTTATTTAATATCAATGTTTATAATTTAAAAAAACTAATTATTTTCAATTGCGCATTTCTATTACAAGAAAACGTGTATGGTTTATCAGAATTAAGCACGTTTAAACTTATAAAACCGACAAAATCTTTTACATAATTGATCACTGTATGATCAGAAAAATTTAAAGGGTATAACCCTTGTGAATCAGGAATTGGAATCTTTGCATTGCGTGTCTCTTGTAAGTGTAACTACGTATATACAGTCCCTTTAAAATATGAATTTATAGGTAAAAATGGGTTAAAAATACCCTTTAAAACATTGATAATTGGTCACACTGTAAATTGTACTTATATCATGAAATGTATAAGATATTAAGATGACATATAGTGTACAGTAGTTATGAGTAAATTTTTACCTTGAAAAATCAGTTCTAAGCAATTTAAATTGAGTACATTGAAAAATAACGGTTTTCCACACTAAAAACAATCAGTAAAGATAAAATAATTCCCGTCACTTTTACAATTGATAGTGGGGATGAGCCCAAGGAGTAAGGAATAGAAGGGAGATATAACTGCCGCGGCCCGCCCTACCATATGATTATACATGCTTTGCAGACGGGTACTCCGTTTGTGTAAGAAATATTCAGAATAGGTTATTGTATACGCGGTAATATGTACATCAGACAAATATTTCTTATTGAAATGGAGTACCGTCTGCAAAGCATGTATAATCATATGTTTGTATCTTCTTTCTATTCCATACTCCTTGGGATGAGTATTTTTTTGGAGCTACTTCAATGTACAGAGTTACTCACTAAGAATGAAATTGTAAAGACGACCTTCTGCCTTAAAACTCCTTCTGTTACGGCCTTTTTAATGATTTTTCAAAGAAAGAAAGAAGTTTATAGTTGCAGAGAATTTTAAATGTAAGGAAATAGACAGTGTAAGTTCCTTTTATATCGACTGTATGCACAAATTATCTAAAATACGTAATTTTGACAAAAATTTAGGGTTGGTGACCCAATATATATAATTGATAACCAATAAGTAACCAAAAAATTGTTTTTAAACTTTTAATATCAAATTATTTTTGTTATACAGTCAGATACAGTGATAGAGTTAGACTCGACTCTCGAGTTATGACATAAATGGTCCAATGAAGATGGGACACATCAATTGTTTAGTGTAAACAGACTCATTTCACTTTAAAAGTGATTTAATAATTTAATAGTAAAACTATTTTCTTGGTAAAAAAATTTAATTAATTTAAGTATTTCTATAAAACTAGGTTTTTAGGGCGCTTCGCGCCCATCTTCTATTTCAATTGTGAACATGTTCTCATTGTAACATTGAAAAACAAAGAAAAAAATATTCGCGGATTTTATAAAAAAAATTTGCGAATTTTCAAGATATAATTTTCTTTTACAAAAATAAAAAAAAAAACTTTTAAACACAAAGGAATTGAGTCTTTGCCACAAACATAAGTTTTTGTATCCCTATATCCCTGCAACCTAATAATGTAAACGTTTGATATTTCAAACTTTGAATATTTAATCTAACAGAGCTGAAAACTTTAGAATGAAATATCCAATTTTGAGGTCACTTTGCTTCTCTGGAGTTTAAATTCATGTGGAGAACAAGCAATATTTAAACTGGATATTAAGAAAAAGAGTGGTTTAAGCCTTAATCCTGATATCCACCATTCTAAAGTTTTCAGCTCAGGGCTCATAGTTTGTCCACGACATTGGGTTCCAGAGATATAGTGAATTGAAAATCAGATTTTGTGACAAAGACTCAATTCCTTTTTAAAATTTTTATCTTTCATAAACCTTCCCTGGGGTAACGCGAGATCCCACAAAAATAATCGGGCCCGATCGATTCAGCCGTTTTAACGTTTATTAGATACACACAAACGTACAGACAAGCCAAATTTATATATAGATTGGAAAGGAATTAAGTCTTTGCCACAAACTTGGATTTTCCCATCCCTATATCTTGTTAACCTGAGGGCAAAAACCTTTGATATTTCAAACTTAGGTTTTTTGATCTAGAAGAATTCATAGTTTGAAATATCTAAGGACTACGACATTGGGTTGAAAAGATATAGAGATTAAAAAATCAGAGTTTGTGGCAAAGACTCAATTCCTTTACTGATATTGTGTAAGACACCCAATAAAAAAATCTACAAAATCAACTAAAATGAACTACATCGTTAATCACTATCCATAATATCACTATTTCTATCCATATCTGTATTTTTTATTCAATAAAACAATAAAAATATGTTTTTTATCAGTAACAAGAAACACCTGCTACAAAAAAATATAACAAGGGCCGGGGGAAGGAACAAATAAAAATAGGGAAAAATTTATCTTTAATAATATATAAAATGTTTATCATTATAAATATGATGGTTTTTAAATTCTAAAGCTTTTTATCAAACAAATATTAAGATTTAAGAAAACAGGATTTGGAAAGCATTTTAAAATAAGTCGATCATGCAACCACATTCTTTTCGTTTTAATAGCGATCCACGTAGCTACAAACATTGCACGGCAACTATTCAGACCGGGCCGATTTTAAAGTGTTTTTGGCTTGGGTTCACTTAAACAACGTGCAAAAACTTTTTAAACATCAAACATTTATCGTTTACTTAAAGTATCAGTTGTAAAGAATTATCCTATCCTAGTTGTATATTGTGTCAGAGCGTGAATAATTTTCACGTCTGTGTATCTTTTTCTGAGCCGTGGTTTCGGCGGAGATTGCGGCTCAGACACAAGATTAATGTTGCTCGCCCCCCCCCCCTCGTTAAACACCTCGTTGATGAATAGATAAAATGGCGGGAATATGGAGGATCATGAATGAATGAATAAAACCATCCCTATCAAACACCAACACCCAAAGCAGAAGGTAGTTTTCAACATACATGAAGTTAGAATAAACAAATTAAGTAAAGATGTCGCCTTTCATTTCGACAACACAATCTCAGAATTTTGGGATTTCTAATGTATCTATGTGGTTTTTGAGATAAATTCGAAACTTGTGAAATGCACAGAATTTAAACTAAAACCATTTTTTTTGTTAGATTAAAAGATTATATAATTTAGGAATCTTTTACAGTCTCTCATAATTCAAAGCCGACATTTTTATTCATATTTTTGTCAGCAAATAGAAATTGTGAAATAAGTAAGAAAAAAAGCAAGTTAAGACATTATAATGTGATGATTTAATTTCTGATTTTTAGCTCAGCTATAAGGACTTGAGTCTTTGCAACAAACTCTGATTTGCTAATCCCTATATCTCTATAGAATTCAATGTTGTAGACGTTATAGATACTTCAATCTATGAATTCAGTGGGCAGTGGCCGAATTTTAAGAATAATGAGCGGCAGTTTAAAATTCAAGCCGCGGCTTAAATATGGTTGGTTCCACTTAAAATTCAAATGTTTCAAAATTTAAGCCGGCGCTTAATTTAAACTGGGTTTTGGCAGATTTAAACCGCGGGCGCGGCTCAAATTCTTTAAATTCCATCTCTGTTTGTTCAAATAAGATAATTTTGAAATATCAAAGGTTTACACGTTCAGGATGCAATTATTAAGAGATTAGAAAATTTGAGTGTTTGGAAAATAATCAATTTATCAATTTTTTTTTACTTTGTATAAGTAATACTTTTTATGACGAACAGTATAAAGAAAAAAAACAGGATTAATTGCATTTCTACGAACCAATTTATATTCCGAGATTGTTAGGATTGTTAAAAATCTAACACATTCACAGAATTAGACGTCTTTGGAAATATGATTATGATATTCTTTACGTCACTTGCTCTCTACTCTTTGAAAACGAAAACATCTTCTTGAACGTCAATAGATCTAGACGTCATTTGGTCCAGTAGTAAAGTATGAGGTTAAATCTATAGGTCATACCTAGCCCCTTCGTTTTTTAGCCTAATCGCCTATAATAGTCGAAGCCCACAGCCCCCACTAGCCTTCGGAACCCCACCAAGCCTGACTTAACAATAAATGATAGATTAAAACTGTGGAAACGACAATTTGCCTATTTTCTCAAATTATTTTGACCATTTCTACAATTTTAATGGTTTTGGTTTCGATAATCACATATATAGTTTGAAGCTTCTTATGTATTTCCACTAACTGATGATTGACAAATGAATCTACAAAAGAAGGGGTTGTGTTATGTTAAGTTTTGGTTTCTAACAAGCTTTTTTAAAGTTACAAGTTTATATGTAGACCAAGAGATTCTGTAATTTGACATCTACTCTTTGTTTCCATGTTTATGTGTATCCAATATCGATGCTGTTTGAAAACATGGTAAAAATCAAAGATTGAAATCAAAACTTGTCTTTATTGTATTGATATAAACCCAGACCACTGTAGATTCAACCGCCAGGAAGGCGGAGAACCAATTGAGCGTATTACGAACAGATTAAAAATTTCTGACGTTAAAAATGTTCTATTTTGACCTTCAATAACGTTCTATTGTAGATGATGGGATTGGAGCGATCCACCTTCTCTAGTTCGGTTTTAATCAGGGTTGAGAATTCATCTGGATTCGAGCTTACTGCAAGGTGAAGAAAGGGTTTGCAATCAGATTCCAAATATTTACTAACTTTAAGAGTTTGTATTATAGCTTAAATATAGACGGATAGGTTTTTCAGCTTTTCCCATTGTTGACAAAACTATTAATTTTCGTTGTTCATTCCTTTTTTTGCAGATAAACTGAGTTTAAGATGTATCCCTTTATTTTCTCCCTCTTAGAGTTTCAATATACTTCTACTTTTTGTTAAGATCTGATTTCATTCCCCCCCACGCCCCCCCCCCCTGATCAGCCGTCCGGGAGATTAGTATTGCAAATATAATTAATATCAAATTTTTACAATCAGGGTTTCCAAATATAATTTGAAATATAATTCCTGCAATCAGGGTTTCCAAATATAATTTGAAATATAATTCCTGCAATCAGGGTTTCCAAATATAATTTAAAATAAGATTCTTGGAATCAAGGTTTCCAAACTCTATTTGAAATGAATGGGAAACTCTTCTGAAAAAAGACAATTTTGAAAAAAAAATCTTTTTTAGACGTTGTTGGGTGAAAGAAGGTGAAGCTGTTGGCTCAATGGTAATATTTTTTAAAACATTGCAGATTCATAATTTTAGTTTTAAGAAAATATTCACTGATGTTTGTCTTCGTAATTCGTAATTCGTTTCTATAATTGATATGTTTCTTTATTCAACTTCAAGAGTTAACAGATTATTTTTGAACTTTTTAAATAAATAAGAAAATGTAGGATTTAGAATAAATGTATAAGACGCAAATTCGAAAATATACGAAGTATAAAAGACGATAAAGAGACGAATGAAAAAGAAATGAGTCTTTGTAACAAACTCTAATACCTATATTTTTTCCACCTGATGGTGTAAACCTTTGATATTTCAAACTTAGATTTTTTCATCTAACAGAATTCATAGTTTGAAATATCTATCGTCTACGGCATTGTTTTACAAAGATATAGAGATTAGAAAATCATAGTTTGTGACGAAGACTCAATTCCTTTGTATTTGAACTATGATTATTATGTATTATATCAGGGGCAGACCGGTTTTGTAAGGTAGTTGAACTGAGTATGCAGTTCATGTGGACAAATTCTTTAGGACTCATTTGAGACCTATAAAACTTTTTAAAGAACTGCAAATCCTGAGTTTGAGCGCAAAGTCGACGTTCAAAATCGTACTTTTGGGTGGATACGTTTTCAGAATTGTTTTTTTAATTATTAAATAACGACACAAAAAATGTAAACAAAATTCTACAATAAACTAATTAGTTGTTTAGGAACAGGTTGAGAAAATAAAAATTAATCTTATCATCGAAAGTAAGTAATCTTATTCAATTATTAGTTTCTATAATCTCTGAATTATTTACAAAGATTTTCTGCAGATTTTCTGGAATTTTTATTGAAAAGACGACATTGAAGAATTTGTAGAAATCTGCGAATAAATTCATAGAAAATAAGAAACTCAATATAATGATGAAAACGAAATAATTAATTCTAGCATTGATTTATTGACAATTTTCTTTTTAGAAATATGTTCCTACCATCTGATTAGTTTACTGTATAATTTTTACTTTATTTTTCGTCGTCGTTATTTAATAATTTTAGAAAAACGATTCTGAAAACGTACCCACCCAAACTCATGATTTTGAACGCCAACTATGCACTCAAACTCAGTAGTTATTCATCGTGGGAACGTTTTATATGACTCAAATGAATCCTAAAGAATTTGTCCACAATACTGCATACTCAGTTTAACTACCTTACATAGCCAGTCTGTCCCTTAAACATCACGAAGTGTGTTAAAAAGTTAGGACGACTTTATACTTTTCTTGAGATACAGGGTTACCTACAAAGGATAAGAGACTGTAGAGAAGGTTTGAAACTTTTCAAGTCTTTTGCCTGTAATGAAGTCTTTGCTATTTAATGATTTGGTAAAGAAATGAATAAGTTTATTTTATTATAATCCTGAATATAAAGAAAACACAGTATAAATACCTTTCAGTTGTTTCTGAACTAGCATTCTTTTTGGGGAATCCTGTCGTTCTAGAAAATTGACAAGAACTTCAACTTTTTTAACACAGGTCAACCATTGAGGAAATACCAGGACTAGGGGTATTTAATGAATATTGTATCAAGAACCATACTTATTAAAAATTATTTACAATTGAATGCCGACAATTTTTTCAAAAATCAAAGACTACATTTAATTCGTCCCTCAATTGTGATGACTAATAATTAATAATCTACAAGGGTATCCCACGAAACATGACAGTTGGTAAATAGTTTTGATTGTCTTCTTCCATATACTGTATTATATATTAAAGACTTTTTGTAGTTTTTACTCAATATATTTTACTTTGAAATTAATTTTACTTTACTTTTACTCCCATACAGTATTTTTTATTATTCTCTTTGGTATCAAACAACAACAGTTTAAACCATTCACCAAATGTCATGTTTCGTGGGATGTATCTACGAAACTTGACAGTAATTTGAACTTTGAAATTATTTGTGGCATTCCTTAATAAACCTTCTTTTACAAGTGCATCATACTTGAAAAATTATTAGAGATAAAATTCGACTAGTTCTGACATTTCCTAACTTTGGTCTGCCTTTTTTTTTAGTGCTGCTGTCACCAGAGTTTTCAAGAAATTCAATTTCCTCAAATAAACCCCAAATTGCTGAAATCTGAACAAAATTCTTCATATCTCCGATGATATTGAAAGCATGTGTCTACAATCCCGTTCAATAATCAATGCCGCGAATTTTTTTTAAGAATAAAGACGACCTTTAAGTCAAGTTATTGCCATTATCTGTTGTGCGCACATGCCCCGTAAAATTTCAAAACAGAGAGAGGGGGATTGAATTTTGTAGAACATAGTTATTACTGCCATGACTTGTGGGAAACCCTGTCTAAATTTAGAGCAACAAATCTGTAGAACATATATTGTTGATGCATGAAAATTAGAAATTAAAAATTGTATTTTATTTTCAAAAATTGTATTAAATGGATTGTATACGTAAGTTTACAGAATGATCCGATTCACGGCGGAATTCTGACTTATTTCCTTTCTTGTCTCTGCAGAATAAATCCGCAAGTCACTCTTACTGAGAATCCACAATTCAGTTAAAAAACTAAGGATGTCTTAATCATATCCTTGATTATACAAAGATTCGAATGTCGCCGTTGTGAATCCGACATGCCACTCTATAAAAAAGGGTCAATTGAAATAAGTATACAGACCCTTTCAGCTAAATAGTGGAAAATAAAAATTATTAAATGAATTCATTAATAAATTGAAAAGATTATTAATTAATCATTATAAATTTTGAACAATCTAATTTCTAATTAATTTATTAATTAGGGTGATCTATTGCCGGGTGAGGGGAGGGACATGTTAATTGCAAGATCCAGGTTAAAAATTATGAATAATTTATTGTGATAAAATCATAAAAATCTTCCTGTTTTTAAGGCTTTGTTAAACTGTATTTGTTACAAAGGATAAGGTCTCAGAAACCTAGCTTTTGAACGTCCTCTTTTATTAGTTAAAACATTAGAAACTGAATAGAAAAGACTTGTGTAGCTTACTACAGAGTTACCTACAAAGAATGAGCCCTTGAAGACGACCTGCAACTCTTTTACGTTTCCAAGGTTTGAATTGATGACCCGTCCTTTTATTGGTAACCCTGTAGGTTGTGACTTAAAAAAAGGCCTCCAAGTCATCATAGATGACTGTTTATGATTTACGATACGATAGAATTGGCCAAAAAAAGGTTAAATCAAAAATTGAAAGATGGAGTTTTGTCATTGGTATTTATATTAACTAAGTCATATGTTGATCGCACTCACGTATGTATACTACTAAACTGCGAATTACGATATTCCTTGAAAGAGAAATTTATATAGCACAGCCCGTTTCACTGGACTATGACACTAGAACATTTTGTACTCAAATTTGCTGAAATCATTAATAAAAATGTATAATTTAGATATTTTGAAACAAAAATTACATTTTTACATAATTAATTATCCTAATCAAGTAACCCTCAAGGTATTAAGTGGAATTTTAGATTAGCTACGATACCCTCCTTTAGCTTTTTGTCTGCTAAAGGAGGACTAGATATTCTTGTTTATTGATTAATTTCCACCGTGGATTCTCTAAAAGGGAATATTAGAAATGGACGGATTTCAACACGTTATACTTTAAAAACAACCATATCTTCCTCATGGTAATTGCTCAGATATAGGATTAAAGAGGGTACCGTAATGAATTGAAAATGCCTTTTTTTAATGAAGGATCACTTGAAATACCCTGTACAGTCTCTTTAATACCCTGTACAGTCTCTTTAATACCCTGTACAGTCCCTTTAATAAACTATCCAGGAAGGGTAATCATGGAACCCTGGCATACGATATTGGAACACTCAACCAGAGACTTATTGTTATGTGGACTTCAGGAAAATTACAGAATATTCATTCTTATTTAAGAATGTTGTGCACTTTGGCACGCATATATTTCCCGAAACTCTCACAAGCTATCTATATAATAAAAGAAAACAATTATATGTTGCCTATAGCCGGTCAAACGGCTGGACCGAATGGGCTGAATTTTTTTGCGAACACTCATGGGTAGTCGGGGGTGTCTTAGGCTAAAAAAAAATTCGAAATTTTGTTTGCAAGTAAAAATATGTTTGAAATATTTTTTTTCTATTTTTTTGCCATATTGTTCGGTTTACAACACACTTATCAAATCTTTGGAAGACGACTTATTATTCTTAATTTTCCTGTTTATTTGATCACACTGTACATGGATTGTTATAGTGACCATGAAACCTTTAAAGTCCCTAAATAATAAATATTATCGATATTCTGAATGTATGTATCCAGGGATGAATTGTGACCATTTTGCAAATATTCTTGCAATCGGAGTAACCTCAGATCTCAACACTGATAAGTTTAAGTAAGACATTTTTCTCTTTTAGACAAAAGCTCATTTAAAGAGACAGTAGAGGTAATTTCAATTTACCATTTTACTTTGAAATTAATTTNAGAAACAGTACCCTTTAAACATTTTTCAGAAACAGTACCCTTTAAACATTTTTCAGAAACAATTAACAAGAACAAAATGTTTTGAATTTCTCTTAAGGAACGAAATAAATTAGCTTATCTTAAACTTCTTCGTAAAATAAAACTAGGAGAAGCTACAAGGTCACAAAGTCGTACCGCTGATGTCTTCTTCTGTCTGATTTGAAGTGTTGTTTGTTTAGCACAATGTACTTTGAGAAGCATCCTTGGTTTGTAAGGAAGAACTTTGCTTACTCCTCCGACCCCCTGGTTATAAGGACGGATATGGTGGAGATCTCTGCAACCATGAGACTTCATCCTCAGGAATCTTGTTCAACCATTATTTCACAATATATTACTCGCTTCAAACCAAGGTTATTTATTAAGGTTGGTTAATGGTTACTCTGGGTGTGCTTCAATGTATTATAAATGTCGGCTTCATAGCAATGGGCACTCAAAATCCTTATCATTAGCGGAAGAAAATCCTTCCTCTCTCTCTCACCTGCGACGTTGTCACTTCATCTTCCGTCAATAATCAGTTACGGATTTTGAGTGTCCTTACAATGAAGACGACATTTTCCGTATACTGAAGCGCATCCAGAGTAATTAACCTTAAAAACAACCTTGCCTTAAACTCTAATCTTATGATCCCTTTATCATTTTTATCATTGCCAACTCACCTTGGACTAACCAGGGCTTGATGTGTTCGTTTTCGTATTTTATATAAACGCATCTACCAACAAAATAGAAAATACGAATACTTTGTGTTTGAATGGTCAAATTGGGATCGAAAGTGAGAGCTTGCCTGGATAAGGGCCAAACGGTTAAATCATGTGAAACTTTTGATATTTCAAACTTTGACTTGACTATTTGACCTAGCAAAATGATAAAATCAGGTCTACGACATCAAGTTTCAAAGATATAAAGATTAGATAATTAGAGCTTGAGGCTAGTAATCAGTTCCTTAAAAAGAAAAAAGTGCAAAATTAAAAGTGAAAGGAATTGAGTTTTACCAAAAACTAAAATTTTCTAATCCCTTTAACTTTGCCACCTGACGGTGTAAACCAACGATATTTCAAACTTAGATTATTTGGTCTAACATAATTCATAGTTTAAAATATCAAAGGTCTACTACATCGAGTTGCTAAGATATAAGGGGAAAAAGTTAAGAGTTTGTGACAAAAACTCATTTCCTTTTCGAAATGTTGTCATAATTTTACTTCAAAATTTTCAATTTTTTTAATAGAAATTGAACAATTTAAGGAAAAAATGCTTTATTTTAATGATTTAATAATGATATCTCTAAAATGTACGTTGAAAATCGTTTTTTTTTCTTTCTTAAATGTTAACAAGAATATTTGAAGGCGGATATTAACGTTCAGATAACTGGGGTTCAGTAGAACAAAAACAAGATTACTTTTGTAAAATAGTAATTTAGTATCTAGCTAGTTAACGATCCAGCTACAAAAATATTTAGTATTAAAAATGTTAAAAAATAATATTTTTTAGATATGATGGTATATTGCTGAGGTTTGCAAAAATGTTTTAAATTATAAATAGAACTCATGAACTGACAGAGTTGCCTCGAATTTTTATTTATAGAGCTCGTTAGAACCACGGGAATATTTTATTATAGAGCTCGTTAGAACCACGGGAATATTTTATTATAGAGCTCGTTAGAACCACGGGAAGAATATTATATATAGAGCTCGTTAGAACCACGGGAATATCTTATTATAGAGCTCGTTAGAACCACGGGAATATTTTATTATAGAGCTCGTTAGAACCACGGGAATATTTTATTATAGAGCTCGTTAGAACCACGGGACTATTTTATTATAAAGCTCGTTAGAACCACGGGACTATTTTATTATAAAGCTCGTTAGAACCACGGGAATATTATATATAGAGCTCGTTAGAACCACGGGAATATTATATATAGAGCTCGTTAGAACCACGGGAATATTTAAAGCTCGGTTTAAAAAATTCTAAGTTGAGAGAGTTAACTTTAATTCCATTTAGTTCAATTTCCATGCAAACCTAGTCTTCTATGAATAAAGTAGTAATCTCTGATTGTATGTCCGATCATAATTTACGAGACCATTTACAGTTTTGTCTCAAATTTTGATCAGGGAACCCTAAATTGAGTGGGTTGACTTCTCCAGATTAAGCTGGGTTCCCTGGCTAGTTCTCTATACAATGTCTCCATCATTCCAAAGGAATTGAGTCTTTGTAACAAACTCGGATTTTCTAACACCTATATCTTTTCCACATGATGGTGTAAACCTTTGATATTTCAAACTTAGATTTTTCCATCTAACAGAATTCATAGTTTGAAATATCTAAGGTATACGGCATTGGATTACAAAGATATAGAGATTAGAAAATCATAGTTTGTGACAAAGACAAAGATGTAAAAAGTGATATTTTGATGATTTTATTTTTGTTGTTTTTCATAACTTTGTGATGTTATATTTTAAAGATAACAAAAAAAATTTATGGATATATGTACTTGTAAACAAGAGTTTTTACGGCGGATTTATCCCAGGTCAATAAAGTCAGGATTTTATATGTCTTTACGTGAAAATCATAAAAAATAATGCTTATCCGACTTTACTTATGATTCTGAACGGAAACTTTTTAAAAACAAATTCGGTGTTGGTAAAAAAACTTAATTAAAAACACTACAATTAATGTCAAGAAATAAGCAAGGTCAGAACTAGTGTGAAATATCGTTAATCTTGAACACTTGAAATCCAATATGGGCACTTTTGAACACTTGATATCCAATATGAGCACTTTTGAACACTTGATATCCAATATGGGCACTTTTGAACACTTGATATCCAATATTGGCACTTTTGAATAAAGTTATCCTCCCGAAATCAAACCGTAGATATGCAAAACCTTGAGCCCGAGATATACAGTACAATATTTCTGCACAACCTTGAGCCCGAGATATACAGCACAATATTTCTGCACAACCTTGAGCCCGAGATATACAGCACAATATTTCTGCACAACCTTGAGCCCGAGATATACAGCACAATATTTCTGCACAACCTTGAGCCCGAGATTTACAGCACAATATTTCTGCACAACCTTGAGCCCGAGACATACAGCACAATGTTTCTTGAGCCCGAGATTTACCACACAATATTTCTGCACAACCTTGAGCCCGAGATTTACCGCACAATATTTCTGCACAACCTTGAGTCCAAGATTTACAGCACAATATTTCTGCACAACCTTGAGCCCGAGATTTACAGCACAATTTCTCACTTCATATTTTAACCTTTCACAGGTTTTATTTAACACTCTTATAACTTCCAATTAATTTTGAATAATATTCAACTATTAGGGTTTTTGTATTAAAACCTTAAATGTATGTTTTATTTTACATGTACATTAAAAAGCCCTATTTATCATTGGTATTTTCCTATTAAACACACAAAATACGAAAATGAATAGCTATAGCTCCATACAACACAACACGGATCAATTAATAAACTATTCTATTGCACGACTAGTTATAAACAAATAACATAATGCTTGTGTTAAATCATGGTATCGTTTAAACACTTTAAATTACATTGTGCGAAGTATGGGTTATTATTTTGAAATGGAATTGAACACTGATTTTTTATCCTTATATCTTTGCAGCCTGATGTCATTGCAATTTGATATTTAAACTATAAATTTTCCTAGATCTGGCAAAAATTTGAAAAATTTGAAAAAAATGTACACAATCTGGTTGCCAAGATATAGAGATTCAAGTGTTAAGGCCCTTTAATTACGATGTTGTTATTTAGATTTGTTTGAAATCAAACTTTACAAATGTTTAATATATTGTATATATATATATATATATATATATATATACATTATTTGATGTAGAAAATAACATTAAAGTTAATAAACATATTTTCTCCACGAGAAAAAAAACCTTGAACCTCGGGTTAGATTAGGATTTTACTTCTCCTGAGGAAATGCAATGAAAATCCGGAAAAGTTTTAAGACTGGGTAATTCAGATCCAATATTCTTCAGATTATAACTTCTAAATCTTGATGATAAATATAAACTATATAATCTTTTATGCATAAATACTTTTATCAAAACCTTCCAACTTCCTTCCATTATATGTTTAATTCTTTAGCTGAACCGAATAGAACAAAATCATATAAACTTGAGCGGGTTCCTTTTAAAACACTAGAATGTTTTCCTTTAGCTTTTTTTCCAAAATTATTAAATTCGATTGAATTAGAGCTGAAAGAAACTAATTCTTCAAAACTGTTTAAAAGAAAAATCTTTAAAAACTATTTAGTTATGTTGATTTTATCTGTAAAAAAGAAATTTCATGTGGATAAACTTAGTTTTTGCTATCTTCTTCACCCTGTAATTCATAAACATGAATCTATAAATAATATATGATACCCTCTGTTACAACCCTTCTGCTGAGTACCCACCATTTCCCTTATACTTACCTTATTCATGATTTATCATCATTGTTTTGTTTAAAATGTACACTGTACAGTGTACATCCATCTATCTATTTACAATTCTTATTCGATTAAGCCGACGTCATAGTACTCGGAGGTCAGGGTAACTGTCTCTTACAAGGGATGTCGACTCCTAAATTCAA